AAATTAGCCTCCTGCCTCAAACTGCGTAGATGACGGATTGTATCAAAGTCGATGCCTTGCCCTGTAAAACTTGATGGTACTGTCAACCCCCCCCCCCCCCCCCTTCCTTAAAATCTCACCACTGCATTCACGTTTCATTGAAATCAAAAATGTCGGCCCCGGAAGACATCTGACATGGTACTCCGTAATGCCAATGCCTTTTCCCATCGCGGCTGACCCTCCGGTTTAGGAAGGTAAACATAGAGACCCTTGTCCAGGTCAACGTCATGGGAAGATAGTGAATGCAACCAGTAGTCGAGACGCTTGAAGAAAGGTATATAAATATAGTATGCAATGCATAGAATCCCGACGCCGATCAGTCAGCCTGTTAGACATCAAAGAATGGGATTTCCTCTCCAACGATCGTCACAAAAACTTTGGGGTATGCACGTGGCCAGCAACTGAAGATTGCAGGCAAAACACATCACGTTGGCGATCATACGAGGCATCCAGGTTGGTGAGCACGCGGAGAGAGCGAGGGGTGTGTGCGAAGAAGGCTTGTACAGTATACTCGAGACCAAGCTTTTACCTGTAAAGAGTATAACACGAGATTGGAACAAGATATGCAAACCCCCATCTTTCGGTATTTTCTCGAAATCAATTCGAAACGGTGCTCGCTCCAGCTTACATTACCAGTATCAAAGTCGACAAGGTACATCACCCAGCTTTCACGGCAAGATCTGTCGCGAGCGGATGCATCATCGTATATCGACTTCCATCTCGCTATCCATTTATCCCCCCTAGTTGTTGAGATTGAAAGCTTGTTCAGGGATCGGGGCTACGAAAAGAAGCAAGTCGTTGAAGTGCCGAATCGAGATCATGCGCTCCCAGAACGGCCAGCTTCGCCCGGATTGAGGCCCCTTTTTCGCACGACGCTTAGACAACTAATGCAAGAGGAGCTTTTGCTGTCGGCTGACTATCAAGCGCATCCCACCCACCTTCCGTCTTTTTTGGTCATGATGATGATCCCAAGCCGCCGATCCAAGTCTGCTGCAGCCGCCACCTATTACCATCATAGCCGTAGAGGACGTCCAAAAAAGCAGGTCGTAAAGGGTGCCCTGTAGTGGTAAGCCGATGATTACTGTAAAGGTTTGGAAACGGCAATCAATGGTGTGTCCAAGAGGGAAGCAACCATTAGACCAGAGAGGATGTTCAGAGAGTGTTCATGGGGAGTGGCCAATGTCAGGCAAGCAGGCCTCTTAACTAGAAACGTCGTGGCATGGCATGGACCCGATCCTTCAGCTATGAGCTTTTCGTCTCCTGATTGATTCGATGAGTATAGCCTCGATTATAGTCGACACTCTATACATGCACTTGAGTCCAATGTATCCAGGTATTTTGCCATGTTCATAATCCACCAGATAATTTCAGTCCCAAACAAAGGCAAGTTCTATATGCCAACGCCTTACTCATGCTACATGTACAAATCCGCGCTTCTTGGCGCTTCTCTCATGGTTCTCCTCCTCCCACGTATCATCCACGTAGTCCTTGACGCTGCTCTCGCGGATCTGCATGCCCACCACCTTGAGAGCAGCCAGGTTGAATCCCATCTCGTCCTTTTGCTTCTTAAGCGTCGCGCGCAAGTTGGCGCGGATGCCGTCGAGCATGGCCTTCATGGCGCGGCTCGCCACAATCTGCTTGTGGTGCGTCTTGAGCATGAAGAAGAGAATGCGGCACGTGAGGGGAATGTTCATCGACCGCACCGCGAATAGGTTGAGAAACGTAAAGAGCATCGGCACCGACGCAAACGGCAGCACCAGCAGGGCATCGTGCAGGGCGGCGGCCTTGATTTTTTGCAGCACCGACATGACGTACGCCTCCGCTGTGATGTTGCCGAGGGCCATGAAGACTATGTGGCGTTGAGGGGCGGCGGCGTTGGGGTTGCTCTCTTTTGCTTGCTCATACTCCTTCATGAGGTTCAGGTCAGCCATACCTAGGTCCAGCGCCTCGGCTATTCGCTCTCCAGCCATCAATGTCTCCGTCGTCTGCTTGCTGGCAGCACCAAACTCGTCGGCAGCGTCGGCAGCGTCCCCGTCGCGCTCGAGCGATGTCGTCAGCGTGCTTTCGTACAACTCCTCAATCTCCCTTTCGCGCTCCTCTTCCAGGAAGATTTGCTCGTCCGTTTCGTCCCAAACGCGGATGCTTTTATCGTGACCCGCACTGACAAGAAAGTTGCCGCGGTGTGCTACAGCCATGGCCCAGACCTCGCCGTGGTGGCCATCGAGACGCTGAATCTGTTCAAACTTGTCGCCATCCCAGTAGCGAATCGTGCGATCTTTACTGCTGCTGAAGAAGTGATGGCCGTTGCTATCTGAGTTGTGGGGAACAAATGCAACCTGCAGAATACTGTCCTGATGACCAAACAATGCCTTGTGACAGTCACCAAAGTCCAGACCCCAGATGCGAATGTTCTTATCAGCTGAACTTGTGACAATCAGCTTGCTATCATACGAGATATCCATGCTAAGCACGGGCAGCTTATGGCCGTAAAGGTTGAGGTATAATTTGAGGGAGTCGACGAAGAAGACCTTGACAGTATTGTCAAGAAGAGCGGCAGCAATATATTTCGAATCTGGAGAGAACTTCAGGCAGAGAATATCGTCCGAAACCTTGAGCGTTTTCGAATGCACAAGCTTCAGTTTGGGAGTCGTCCTCTTGGTACCGAGAACCTCTTCTTGGACTATGCGAAAGTCCCAGAACTTGGCTGACTTGTCGGCACTGCCAGATACCACAGAACGACCATCTGGGTGAACGCTCAATGACCAGATGGCGCCCTCGTGAGCATCAACACTATCGAGAAGAGCAGCCGAAGCAACGTCAAAGAGCTGCAGCTCACCGCTCTTGGTTCCAACAACAACGACTTTGTCTCCTGGCAGAAACGCGCAGCTCAGAGCATATCCACATTCAAAGGTTCGAATGCAGGCTTGTGTTTTGACGTTCCATATTTTGAGAGATCCATTGGCAGCCGTTGCCAGCATCTTATCATCGGAGCTGAGTGAGAGAGCTCTGATATCAGCCCGATGACCGGGAAGATCGACGGAAAGGGCTCGCGTATAATCAGGGATATCTTGTTTCGTCTTCTTTTCGCTCTTTTGCTTTGAAGGCACATTGAAGTACTCCAGCTGATTGTTCGTGGTACCGACGAGAATATGGAGATCTTTTTGTCCACTCGGTAAAGCCCATGCGGCGGAGCGCAGCTTTCCTCCTGTCCGCACCACAACATATTGAACAAACACGTCGCCGACATCTGCTGATGCAACATCCACAGACCCTTCGTCTTCTTCAGCTTCCTGTTCATTCTGCTTAGGATCCTTTTGCTTTTCACGACGCCTGCGTCGTTTCCGCAAAAGGCCTTTCTTGACTTCGGCTTCCGTTCTCATGCGCCAAATCTCCACAGCTTTCTCCGAGCCGTGAACAGCGAAATAGTCCTTCTTGGGGTGAAACTCGACTTCCAAGGCGCGGTCCTTGTTCTGACGGTGCAGCGTACCACGGTCGATAAGATGTTTTGTAGTAGCCACATCGACTCGGCCAACACTGGCAGCTAGGCCGTCCACATCGAGCGACCAGACCTTCATCTCGCCATCGTTTCCGGCTGTGATGCATGCTTCTGAGCTTGGAGAGACCCCGAGCGCCCAACATTCGCCATTAGTTTGCGATATGTGGGTTTCGATACAATGCCGAGAAGAGAGATCCCAGAGTTTGAGTAACGAGTCTTTCCCAGTAGACAGAATAAAGCCATCAGAGCTCTTTTCTCCATCGAACACCATTGCGCGAGATCCATCCTCATCCTGTACCTCGGCAATTGGTTCGATGAATCGCAAACCGGTAACTTGGTCTTTGTGCCCTCTCAGCTTGAATTGGCCAACTTCGGCAACCAGATCCCATATGATAATATCGGTGTCTTTCGATCCGCTCGCAAGTCGAATTCCAGATCGGTCAAAGTCGAGTTGTGTGATGGCTGATTTGTGGCCGTTGAAGCTTACAATAACAGTAGAGATTTTACTGTCCCAGAGGCGAATGCTACCGTCCTCATAGCCGACAGCAAAAACGTCCTTGTCCGTCCGGCTCTGCGCAATGCAGGTAACAGGAACAGTGCACGTGTCATCCCGCCAACGGCTCAGCAGTTCACCCTTCTTGATATCCCAGCAGAGTACCTCTTCGTTTGCCGCGACGACAGCCTGCCCAACGCCAGTGCTGTTGCGATCGTTCGCTATCCAGACAAGATTCGAGCTGTTCGATGCGACCACACCAAACGCTTTGGCATGCTCGTACTTTCTGTGTTCTCTTTCAGTATGAAATCGTAAAGATTGGAATGAACCTCACATACAAGTATGATTTAACCATTTTGAGTATTGTCTGACCGTAATTGGTCCTTGGTAAAGGTCATCACTAAAAAGTTCAACCTTACGCTGCGACGGTCTAAGTGGGATTTTTTTTCTGGCTTATCGATTAGTTTTTGAGACTCGCGCGACTGCGTCACGTGCCTCTCTACAGCTGGTGGTTGATGTGAGTCTCCCCTCCTGCCCCACCAGGAGACGTCAGACGTCAACAGCTACCAGCTCTATCCAGGCAACCTACTTTGGCATCACAGCAGGCAAACCCTACGATGCTTCTCCTCGATTACCAGAACGTTCTTATTCAATCGGTTTTGACCGAGCGGTTCTCTGGGTATGCTTAGGATGTCGACCTCATGTTGGCGCTTTCCTCTAACCAGCGCACAGAGCCCCGCCAACGTCCATTGACCAGACAGTATCCGACTTCGACGGCGTTACATTTCACATTTCGACCCTTCCCGAGACGAAAACCAAGATCCTCTTGTCGCTTCAAATAAGATGTTTTGCGGACCTTGTCCGGTACGGTGCTGAGCAAGTTCTGCAAAGAGAGTACGGAGACTACATCTGCCCCGTTGAGAATGGCTATGACTTTTCCATCTTGATTGACCTGGAGAACTTGCCGGAAGGAAAGGGTTCGTACCTTGCATTCTTACGCTACCATTGATGTCCGATCTGAGATCCTTCGCTTACAACTGGTTCAGAGGAACGCGATGCGCTGGCTCTCAAGTGTGCGCTACTAAAGCGAAACGCAATGGCTGCACCGCTCGAGCAAGCCTACGAAGAACACTACAAACTCAAGGAAGAAGCCTCGAAATTCACATCAGAGGAAGCACCGCAGGATATCCGAAACGGCGGCCAGGTAAAGGCCATTCACTACCGCGAAGAGGAGGCGATTTATGTCAAGGCTGCGCACGACCATGTCACTGTCATCTTTAGCACTGTGTTCCGTGAAGAGACGGACAGAGTCTTTGGCAAAGTCTTCATTCAAGAATTTGTAGATGCACGAAGACGTGCGATTCAGAATGCGCCCCAGGTGCTGTTCCGCAACGACCCGCCTCTGGAGCTGCAGGACGTGCCTGGTGTTAAGAGCACTGGTACTGGCGAGATTGGCTACGTGACCTTTGGTGAGTCGGCTTCTCTTCTTGGTAGAATGACCTATCTGACGTTCTTCCAGTTCTGTTCCCTATGCATCTCACTCCTCAAAGAATGGAGCAGGTTATTTCGCACATCCAGACATTCCGTGACTACTTCCACTATCATATTAAGGCTTCTAAAGCGTATATTCATTCGCGTATGCGCAAGAGGACTGCTGATTTCCTGCAAGGTGCGTCTTTTTTCATCTTGTTGCTGTTCGGGAACTATACTGACGCCAAGCAGTTCTTCGCCGGGCACGACCCGAGAATGAGGAGCGCGAACGCAAGACCGCGACAGGAAGGTCTTTCAAGGTGCAGGGTTAGGCTCAAAATAGATGTTCAAGGTTGGGGTTGGGATATTGTGGGATTTTCAGCGTATATCCCAGTATAATAGACGGATATAGTCGCCAGAATCCGTGTCGCAACAAAGCAATGAACCTTATGTTGATGATAGCTCAACGAGCCTGGACGCTCTCACGCTAGTCAATCAAATTGTGCTGTAGAGATCTCTTTAACCGAACTTGCTCGATCCTTTGCTTCGTGAGGTAGTCTGTCGATGTTTCGGCCCGCATGTCCGCCCGCAAGGTCGGTATGTTACCCTGAAGCCGATCAGGAATGGTTGCACTGGCCTTCAAGTACACCTAGTCGCTGTCCTTTTGTCGAACGGGTGTGTTTCTCTGCTCCCAAGTCGTGTGCTCGCAATTTGTTCGATGTCTCACTGGTATTGTGAACTTGCTGAGGGTTGTCTGTTGTTTGTGCCTTAACATCGAATAAGTGGAAGACCCACAGTGATCGACGACTTCCGATCAGGCGGTTTTCTGCAAGTTACATCACGAATCTTGCACTTCGAAGAGTCCGACCTCTGGGTCGCGATAGAAAATGGTATGGCCATTTGGATCCTCGCCACCGGATCGCGACAAGCCTGGGCTCAAGGACAACCGACGGCCGGTTGAGTGGGACAAGTCGCTCGGCGAGGTCGCCGACCCGCTCGACGCGGCCAAACAATGGGTGCCAGTAGTCATCACCTCGCTGGTTGGCCTCGGCGCGCTACAGCTCTATGCAAATTATCTACGGCGAATCCCTGGCGCGGCATTTATCAAGCAGTCGGCGTTTCGCAAGAAGACGCTGTTTGGACGCGTCACGAGCGTTGGCGACGGTGATGGCTTCCACCTGTTCCACACGCCTGGCGGCAGGGCCGTAGGCTGGGGCTGGCTGCGAAAGGTGCCTGAAAAGCGAAGAGACCTCAAGGACCGCACGGTGAGCTGATGCATAGAGCGCTACCCCATACTTCTTCGTTGCTGACAGTGCCTCGATGCTGGGCCAGATATCGATTCGACTCGCCGGAGTCGACGCCCCCGAGGGAGCCCATTTCGGACGACCAGCGCAGCCCCACGCGGACGAGGCGCTGAAATGGCTAACCGAATACATCCTGCACCGAAATGTGCGGGCACACATCTACAAACGAGACCAGTACAACCGCGTTGTCGCGACCGTCTACGTGTGGCGTTTCCTGATACGCCGCAACGTTGGACTGGAGCTGGTGAAGCGGGGTCTGGCGACGACTTACGAAGCGAAATCGGGTGCCGAGTTCGGTGGTCTGAGACCTATTTATGAAAAGGCAGAAGCTAACGCCAAAATGAAGAAGTTGGGCATATGGTCCGGCAAACCCAGCGAGTTTGAGAGCCCACGGTCGTACAAGAATCGATACTCCGGCCAGGACAGCGAGTGATGGGAACGATTCGAGGGCCGAGTCTCCATAATTGGACTCTCCGGCACAAAATGGGCGAGAGCGCTTACTACTATACCCAGAGCTAGCCACAGCGAGGACCAGAGGCAGGCAAGTCTCACAGGTTCAGAAGAATCTATGTTTGTATCTAGAGAGCATGGCCCCTGTATCAACACCTGCTATGCCAGTCTCGATTCTAGGATTGTTTCAAGACTGGCTCTATTGTCTCCAATGACCATGACTGCTTTTACGCCCTTCTCGAACGCCATAAGTATCAGGCATCCAGCCGCTTGGCCAGGTCTGACAGCAGATACACGTCGATGCCATTTGAGGGCGCCATAGAAAGCCTCGGCTACGCGTTTGCTAGGCACCACGATCAACTTTGAAGACGAACGAATCGTAAATCACTAATACATTGGCCACACGCGACACAGTATTCTGATCATAACTAAGGAAGGTCCGGAGGCTGAGGCTCTTGGGGATGCCGTTGGCATCTCGAAGGACAGCTATCATCACGATGCCTTGATGCCCAAGTCAAAATCTAAACACTATGAGCTTTGAAAGATCATCCGTTCAGGATTTATCAGAGCCATTCCGTGCATTCACTCCCACATGCTCTTGTATGTATTTGCAATGGGGCAATGGCGCAACTAAGTCCACGATGATAAACACTTCCTGCGAAGCCGAGGCTACCTGTAGGCTTTTCCCGTAAAAAAAAAGAGAAAGAAAAATATCACATAGGAATTTTACGAGGTGTGGGAAGTTCCTGGGGTCAGAAGTATATCTGGAGACTAATATTTTCTGTCAGGGAGGATGTGGTCCCTGGGGTTAGACATCCAGGCCGGAGGATGGCGAATTCTATCTATCTTGGCTGGTTGAGCATCACTTCGAGGCTCCTTTTGTGTATTACAATCCCGAACGACAGCGGGGTACCGCTTTGCGGCAGCGAATAGGCTACTGAACGAGAGTTGCCGACCAGTCCATATTAAACGCAACAACATACGTAATTACTCGTCACTGCTGACCACTCTACAGTTGAGAAAGGACACACTTGGTAGCTTTGGAGCTCTCGCGTGTTGTGGAACTGCTGGTGGATTTGACTGTATTGTTAACAATGTCGAGCCTCGAAACTTGTTGCAAGGTAACTGCGCGGCGGCAGAGAGCCGGCAGGTTGATAGGAATACTACGCTCGGTGAGTCTGTGATACGTGCTGCGGCCGAGCGCGTAGTTCACAAGCGCCGCTGTGTCAACGGCGTGATGCGGTATGACAGCAGGCAGCGGCCGCGATAGGCGGTATCCAGGAAATCTGGGGGCTTGCAGGCAGCGAAGAACCTGCAAGCACGATGAATTATCTGACTCGAGATTGAGAGTTCTTGTCGAGAAGCTCCATACGACCGCTTCGTACGATAGCCGACAAAATCTTCCGCTTTACCAGTACGTCTATTCGTAATTACATGCTTGAAAGGCCGGAGCGGAGCCGGATCTGCTCTACTTTGGCACTTTGGCTCGCTCGTCTCCACATATTTAACTTACAAGTAATTAATTAGCTGTTGCTGTTTCACTGTATTCGTAAACTTCAGGCACGTCCCAGAGGAAGCGTGGGGGAAGCCTTTCGATTAGGTCTGTGACAAAGCGATTATTTTTGGAGTCTTACTTATACCTTGTTCCTCTTTCATTCATTCGACCATTGTTCTGTTTATGCAGCCAATCGTCTTTAGAGTGCACCAAGACCCGACCACCAGCCTCTCGAAGTCGGCATGTGGGCCCGCTAAAATGCCACGCTAAAATTCGAAACCGCCCTGTCGATTGCTCGGGCCTCACCGGCAGACCGCAGTCCCAGTGGCCTTTCAGTGGTCCGACGCCTAGGTACTTCGTAATTGCAGGTGTGGCAATGCATCAACGCCTTGCCTAATCTGTACTAGTGCTGTTATCGCTCCCGTCAGGCACAAAACAAGCTGCAGTCTGGTGCAAAGCGACGCTCGTATTTATTATTGACAGCATGAAGAAGCAATAAACACTCGGATACAGTCACAATTTGTCGCATTCTTGGCGGCATCGGGCTCCTTTTGTGCTTTTGCATTTTTACAGCTCGCGCACACTCTGCTATCTGTACATTCTTCCATTTGTACCATTTCAAGTTCGTACCACTTGCCCCTGGCTGTTGTTGCTGCTGTCCCGGCAGCCTAGCCCAAGTTGTGCCCCCCCTCCTGGTACGGTGGCACGGTGGTTGCTCAAGTCGCACCACCACCCATCGCCCATCCACGCCAGCCATTTCCCTTCAAACAAAACTCTCTTTTCACCAACTAGGCTGTTTAGCCAACTTCCAGCCCTTCGGCTTTTCGACTTTTTCGTCGCCAACACACTCCTTTACATTTGTTATACCTGCGGCTGTCTTTTTACGCCGTTTAATTCCGTCGTCGCGCTTTACTCACGCTCCTAATTCTCGTCATCGTCCTCCGTTCGCTAGCATTTACCGCCATCCCTAATTCATTTCCAACCACCTCCTGATGCATCGATAGACGGCAAATATCTCCGTCTGCCCTCTCAACACGCTTTGTCCGAAACGAATACGTCTTTTACCAATCTTGACGAATCTATCCGACTTTTTTCTCGGCCTCAGACACACGTTAACACGCCCTGGCCATGCGGGTGTCGATTGGCTACCGGCGCCGCTCTGCGCGTCTTGGTCAGCGACATGGCACCGCTCTCACTTTTCTCACAGCTCTTCTGCCCATGATGGCAAACGCAGCCAGTGTCGAACCAGCGCCCCCAGCGAATCTCGACTTTTCCGACCTCGGCCAAATTGGTATTGCTGGTGATTTTGGCGGCATTTCTCTTTACCAGTTTGTTGGACAAGGTGGCCAGACTCGCAGTGCCAATGGAAGCGAAGCCCTTCTCTCGGAGCTGCCAAACGGTGCTCTGTTACCAGCCGTTCAGACGGATGCCGTCATTCGAGCCATGTGTCTTTACAATGGCACCTCTAGCAAATCAAACGGCCTCATCATCGGAGGCAACTTTACTTCTCTTGGTGGCAGCAAGTCCAAAGCAATCGGAATTTACGACATTGATGGCAGCAAGGTCACCACCCTTGATGGTCTCGAGGGCGAGGTCAACGCCATTCTCTGCGACGATGCTAGCGACACCGTCTATATTGGTGGTAACTTCAGGAGTGGCAATTCAACAAACGCCATTTCCTGGAATGGCAAGGATGGCTTCAAAAATCTGCCCTTTGTTGGGTTTAATGGGCCCGTCAAAGCCATAACCAAAATGGATAATGGCCACATACTTTTCGGAGGCACGTTCACTGGACTTGGAAACTATAACAGCACAGCTGGTAACTGGCGCAACACTCAAACTATCAACCTGGAAACTGCGAAAATCAATGCCCAGGGAAGCTCCTCCAAAGATGGCTTCAGCGACCCGGCTAACGTTGCCTGCTCCAGTGGCTCTGTTGCTCAAGGCAGCACCTGGCTCCTTGAAGACGATACCCCTGGCTACTGGGAGGCTCAGTCTGGCTTCGGCTTTGAGCCCACCAAGATCCGCATTTGGAACACACACCTTGAAGACCACGGAACCAAGTCATTCAATATCCAGACTTTTCCTAATGGCCTCACTAACATCATGAACATGACCTACATCGATGCCGATACAGGCAGAAATGCCACTTGTGACCGCGTTTGCCCTCTCAGCAACGACCCTAAGGTCCAGTTTCAGGATTTTTATTTTGTCAACGTTGTAGGAATGAACAAGCTCCGCATCGACATACTGGAGTGGTGGGGCAACGCTGCTGGCCTTGCAGGCGTCCAGATCTTTGCGGACAACGTCTTCTCCTACGCCATCAACGACTTCAACGAACCCAAATGCCGTACTCGATCAGGCACTGTCTCGTCCGCCTCAATTACGGGGCCCTGGGAGAGGTCACCATCTCTACAAAGCAATGCCGAGTATCTCACCGCCAGCATCCATGTGGACGATGGTCGTACAGGCTCAAACGCATCCGTCACCTTCTACCCCAACATTCCGCAGTCTGGCAATTACTCCGTCAATCTCTACACACCTGGCTGCGTGGCTGATGGCACATGTGCTAACCGCGGCCGAGTTTACGTTTCTGGATCCATGTCTAGTGGCACCACTCAGCCCGAATTCGAGACAGAGCTGTTTCAGACAAATAACTTTGACAAATACGACCAAATCTACTTTGGCTTCGTGGAAAAAACCTCTGACAAATTCCAGTCCAGCGTCACTCTTAGCCCCACCGCTGACCAGACGGTCGAGGACCTCGTCATTGTCGCTCAACAGGTTGGATTCACCCTCATCAACTCTGTCGGTGGCCTGAACGGCCTTTTCGACTTTGATCCTAATGGCCCTCTTCCCGACGAGAGGAGTCTCGATAGCTCCGCAATCAACAAGCTTGGGTACAGCTTCGATAAGTCATCGGGTGTCAAAGCTCTTATTACTTCATCCGATACCACCTATGTTGCGGGCAACTTTAGCTCGAAAAACCACAGGAACATTGTGGCCATATCCAGCAAAGGTGGAGAAGCCAAGAATCTAGATGGGGGCCTGAATGGGCAGGTTCTGGACATGCAGGCCGAGGACAAGAAACTTTATGTTGGCGGATCCTTTTCCAATACTCTCTCCAACGATACCAAAGGACTGAACAATGTCGCAGTCTACGACCCCGATAGCGACGCCTGGTCTCCTCTCGGCGCCGGTCTCGATGGCTCTGTCGACTATGTTGTATCTCTACGCGTCAACACCACCGAGGGCAAGCCAGAAACAGTTATCGCGTTTACTGGTTCGTTTACCAACTCAAACGGCTATGACAACTTTCCGTCAGCCCGAGTCGATGGCTTTGCCATTTGGGTGCCCTCGCAAAGTATTTGGTTGCACGACTCAAAACATAATGTTCCAAGCTACAGTGGCGTATTGACTGCTTCCCACTTGGACCTTCACGGTAGCAATTCTATTCTTGCCGGTTCCATTGACGTCTCTACGCTTGCAGTCGATGGCGTTGCCAGCCTTTCAGCCGCAGGTCTTGGAAGATTCCCCGCCAAGATTGACGCAAAGACACCGAAGCCGAGCAAGCGACGACGAAGTATTCTACAAGGAGGCGATCTGGCCGGCGTTGCCACTGGAACCTTTTATGAGAATGCTGATGAGAGCCTTACTATCATGGCAGGCCACTTTACTGCACAAGCATCCAGCAACGATTCAGTCATTCACAACTTGGTCTTTATCGATGCTAAGAAAGGCAATGCCACTAGTGGTCTTTCTGAAGGCATTGATCCTGATTCGTCGTTCTTTGCGACGGATATTTGGAACAATATTCTTTTTGCTGGGGGTCAAGTTTCCGGAAACGTCAGTGGAATGGAAGCTCATGGTATCATTGGATGGGATCTCGATGCTAAAAAATTCTCTCACCAACCTGCTGGTCTTACGGGCGGCGACGGTGTTGTCACTTCCATCGCCGTTCGCCCTGGCGGTGGCGATCAAGTCTTTGTTGGCGGCTCCTTCGAGAAAGCCGGCGCCCTGGATTGCCCTGGCCTCTGTACCTTCAATATTGACGATGACCAGTGGACTCGGCCTGGCACCGTCGTCACTGGCCGGGTTACTGGGCTGCAATGGGTAAAAACTGATTCAGTCCTCGTCGCTGGTGACTTGGTCGCCAGCTCAAGCGGTTCTAAGCCTTTGGCCTACTATAACCCAGTGAAGCAAACGTGGACCGACTTTCCTAACCTTGGTGATATTCCCGGTCCTGTCGAAGTTCTGGCACCCGCAAGCATGGATCTCAAGCAATTCTGGATTGGTGGCAAATCTCTCAAAGACAAGTCAACCTTCCTGATGAAGTGGGATGGAAGCAGATGGCGCTCTGTTGAGAAAAAGCTCCCCGACAGCACTGTTCTTCGCAGCCTTCAGGTGTTCCGTCTTACCCAACAGCACGATCGCGCCTCTCTACTCGAATCGGATCAAGCATTGATGATTACTGGCGCCATTGACCTGCCTAACACTGGCTCCGTCTCAGCTTGCTTGTTCAACGGCTCACATTACCAGCCCTACGCCCTGACCACAAGTAACAACCAAGGCACCAGCAGCATTGGCAGAATTTTCTCGCAGAGACCCAATAAGATTGGCCACAGTAAACGCATGCCGCTGGTCTTTGTCGTTCTTATCGGATTGGCCATCTCGCTTGCACTCATTTTGCTCATGGTTGTTGGCGGCGTCGTTTTAGACCGTCTTCGAAAGAGGCGTGAAGGCTACGTCCGCGCGCCAACCTCGATGCGTGACCGCGGGAGCGGCATCCAGCGAGTTCCACCCAGAGAACTACTTGAGTCTCTAGGCAGAGTGCGTCCTGGTGGCCCGCCCGCTGTTTAGCTTTGGGTGTTTTCAACATTCACTCGGCGTTTGGATAAAAAGGGCATGCTTTATTTGGCATTTTGTTTTGTTATGTTTTTATGTTTGCACACGCGAGCAACGGCAAGCAATATTGCGACCTCTGCCATTGCTTTACATATCATGAGGTCACGACTTGAAGGGTTTATATCGACACCTTTGCAACAACACGTTTAACACAATTTTCTACCTTTCTTTTCTTTTCAAGATATTGATTCCTCTTTTCTCTTCTCACTTTTCATTCACATTTTTTGTCTTGTCATACGCCTGCGCATCGCAGAGCAAACGCCTTGTATATCATCATACTTCAAGTCAGCCTCCGACACAAAGGCTGTCGTTCGATCTTGGACTGTTGAACACGGTACAGTCGGTCAAAGCGGCTCCCGTTCTTCAGTGTGGTAATGGGAGACGTCTTTCTCCAGCGAGGAGTAGAGTAGCAAAGGAAAGGAAAGGAAATATGAAATATGATCAAGGCTGCAACATTTGTTTGTATTTTCTCACAGAGCGTAATAAAAAGGGCTAGCTAGCTCGGTTCAGAAGAAGCCTTGGTAGCGTTACTTGAAAGAACTTCAACTAGTTAATGAAATACCCCTTTACCGATGGTGAATGAGATGCCTTTCAAGTATCAGACTCCAGAATAGCTGTCCTTACTTGGCACGGCTGGCTACTGCTTTAGGCATACACTCACAGACTCGATGTTGATAGTTATCTATCAGTCAACACAGGCAAGTTTGCACAAACTTGGCAAGATGTAATGGTCAATTTAGTAGAATTGATTGATACTAGGAATATGATGGATTGTAAAAACATGTCTTGAATTCAACAAGGTTAATTGTACTCATGGAGGGCTCTCTTGAGCGCGTTTCGGGGGGCGAACAAAGATCATCAAAAGCGTATGTAACATTCGAGATGATCTCTCGTCCTGCTCGTGATCAACAATAGGCCATTTTAGTAGGTGAGAAGATGATGTCAAATGTAAAAGACACTTGACTGCTCGATTATCTCATCACATCCAAACACTCTTTTCTACCCTGACTCTTTTTCGCCTTCTCTAATGCTTTTGGTTCTTCCCTTTATTCATCCAGTCAAGCTTTCATTTACAGGCACTTTGTCCACTGTACGGAGTAGTGTGCGCTGTGTCCTTGGCCTCGCGGGAGGGGGGAGGGGGGGGGGGTTGTCGGTGGGTCGTGACTCACGTGACGCCATTCGCCAACGGGGCCTTGAAGCTTCTGGCGATGATATCGTTGAAACAAATCTCATCTCATTACGCCAAACCGAAGAGAAGAAAACGACGAAAAAAAGAAAAAGAAGAGACCAAATTCAGTCAGACCAGGAGGACCGAGGTAGAAGAACCTCTTGTCCAACCCTGCAAGCGTCCACGCCAAAACCTTTCAACTCCTTGCCGCCCACCCAAATCATCATAACCCTGGGTTCTCTCAACATTACACAACTATGCTCTTCTTCAGGTGAGTGTTTTTTTTATACTTCATTTCACCGACACCGCCACCGCTTTTTGCGATCAACGGAAAAGGAAACAAAAAAAAAGAGAGGTTTCCTCGCAGAGTGGAAAGCCTTCACCCACCACCTATTATTGCAAATGAGAAATGAGTACTGGGGAGACTCTGCGCTAGAAAAGAAACTTTATATGCTAACACGCGACTGGGGGGAATGGAATAGCTTCTTCAAGACGCTCATCGAGCAAGAAGTCACGGTGGAGCTCAAGAATGACATTCAGCTCCGCGGCACGCTCAAGAGCGTGGATCAGTACCTCAACATCAAGCTCGACGACATTTCCGTCATGGAGGAGCTCAAGTACCCTCACCTGGTATGTTTTGAGCTTGCTCGCTCTCCTGCTCAAATGTGTGATTTTTTCCTCTTCTCCTTGCTGACGGCTGGTCTCGCAGAGCTCTGTCAAGAATGTCTTTATCCGAGGTTCCGTCGTCCGCTACGTCCATCTTCCTGCCTCTTCCGTAGACACACAACTCCTCGAGGACGCGACTCGCAGAGGTAAGAAACCCCCTCCCCTCCCCTCCTCCTCTCCACCTCTCATCAGGCGCTTGTAATTTTTTGATTCCTAGTTTACTGATTTTTGATACCCGTGTTACAGAGGCTTCTACGCAGCAAGGCAAGGCCAAATAATGATTCAAGAAATAAAGCGAAGACAATGAGAAAAAAAAAGGGCCCCAATTTGCGAAACCGTTTGCTGCATTTAATGGGCATGGCAGCTGTGCATTTCAAACAGCTGTCCGTTTATGGGCTTGTGTACTGTGCTATGATGGGTTTCGTTAGGCGTTAAACAAAAGATATCTATACATTGGAATACAAAAACCTATGACCCAACAGTCGCCCCATGAACAGAAACTCCGCGATACACCACGGGCTCACTGCAGTCCGTTGGCGGGCGCTTCACCACCAAGCACCCCCACCACTGTTTGTTTTCCCATCCCAAAGAGCCACCTTGAGATCTTCAGGATCATCACTGCCTTCTACCAGTGGCTGTATCAGACCGCCTTTGCGTCTTTCAGTCAGCCATCGATCGATCCACGACTTCATCCTCTTCCTCGACTGCTCGCTACCCACATTCACCGTGGGTATGACCTTGTCAATTCGCAGGCTCATCAGAAACAGCGCCAGCTCCCGAAAACTGCTGTGCTCCGAGTACGGAACGCCAAAACACATGGCCTCCTTTGTGCTGCCTCGCTGGGGCACAAAGTCGGCGGCGCCGAACCGCGTCCGCCAACCCTTGCCGTGCAGAAGCTGCTGCGTCGGGATCGTGGACGGGGCCGTGTTGGCTCCTACACTCTTGCTATTGACAGGCCGAAAGTTCCATCCCGAGGGACGGAAGCCCACAATCCGGCTGAAATGCGGCTTGTAGCTGTTGAGGTACTCCTGCAACGTTTCGGCGCGGATTTCCATGAGCATCTGCATGTGGACTTGCGCCTCGATCGGGTCAGACGTCAGCAGCGCTGTTAGCTCTGGATCTCCCAACTGCTTGCAGATTTTGATTTTTGAAGGCGAGGCAAAAATCTTTGTTCGCAAAGCCTTGGCAATAGCAACACATATGCGCTCCTTTCCAATGGAGTAAGTCCCGCATATAATCAACACGCGTTGGCCGAGCTTCTTCTTGGGTTCCGGCTTCTCCAACACCGGTGCGGTTGGGTTCTGAAAGTACTTGCTGACAGTCTTGCCAGCTTCCTTTTTGGCCGAGTCCCAGACGTCGTCCTTGCAGTTGGGATCTGGGGAGATTTTGGCAACCAAATCAGCGCAAGCTTGTATGACATCGTTTTGTGGGGGGAAAGAGTATCGAGGATTGAGATATGTGGTGTCAAGGTAGCATATATCAATCTTTTGCCGTCTGAGCTTGCCCGACACAGAATCTGCAACATCGGGCCGTAGCAGAGGGTGTTGGACATGATCTGGACAGGCTCTAAAGTCACCGCAGTGAAGGATTCGCTTTAAGCTCTTGTTGTGCCGCTCGCCCACCACCTTTTCAAACACAAACAGAGAGCTCCCCGGACAATGATTTGCCGAAATCATGGTGACTTTAGCACCATCTGTACCGGGGACATCGTATTCCTTGTCGAATTCCAACTCGACGACCCATTTAGCCGCCGTGCGCAGCTGGTTCCGCACCAAACTGCCAGTGACTTTGCTGCAGTATATCGGACCGTGTGTCCACGTTGCAGTCAAGCCAATGTAATGATCGCTATGAAAATGACTGAGAAAGTATGCTTTGCAGCCCTCGACAGCTCCGTACCGAAATGCATCAACGCAGATGGAGAAGCCCGGCATGATCTTGTAGAAGGGACATGTTCTCGTGTACGCTGGCTTACCCCGCGAAGCATTTTCAGCGGCTGCGGCTGTCGACCAGGCTGTGTCTTCGGCGTTACTTGACATCAGCTGAGAGAATGCTGACTTGGACCCGGGTGTTTGTCCCGTCAGGTAAAAAGGATTGGCCTGTCCGGGGCGCGGAATTGCCGCTCGCATGAAGCGCTTGCCAACCTCTGTCGCCTCCACCTCTTCAACCAGTGCAGGTGGCTTTGGTTGTTCGGCGGGTTTTGGCAGCGGCGTTGGGTTGCCGTCAAGACAAGCATTGACGTGCTTCGATGCCTCATCCTCGGACACCCCTGCCAGACTACCTGAGCATATAGGGCAGGATTGCGCATCAGTATCTTCCTGAAACGGGTCCTCTCCGAAAGTCTCATGAAAAAGAGTCATATCGCCAGATTCCTCAGCTTCTAAACGAGCTTGCTCCTTCATAAAACGCCACTCGCGCATCTCGTCGCCTTCGAAGGCTTCCATGTCTATGTCGTCGATACCAAGCTCATCGACGCTGTCAAGTCCGCCACTGGTAGCTTCGTGCTTGAGAGTGGGTGGATCTTTTGTGCATTCATGACCCGCCTCTGCATCGTGGGTTTCGCTCTTGACAGGCTCCGTCTTGAGTGAAGCCTGTTCGCTGGTGCTTTCCTTGTCTGGGCTCGATTCATGATTAAGAGATTTTATAGGAAAAGAGTGGCTCGGCTTGGTATCCTGTTCGTCTTCGTCATCCGACTCTAATATGAATGGTGATATAATCTTCTTGGCCTTTGATGGCTGCGCAGCTGGAGATTGTACCAACTGAGTCGGGCCAACCGATATGACAACATGTGCCGTTTCGCTGACTCTTCGTCTCTTGTGCGGGGATTCTATCCCATTGGTATCATCCCCATCATTGCGACTGTACAAATCTTGGTCGGCGCTGTTCTGGGTGGCGGGAGCGGCTGTCGGGGTGGGCTCCGTAAGAGTTCCCACGAACAAGGAACCTTCTTGCTTTTCCGTCTTTTGGAAGAAGTTGAGAATACTGCTGTTTGGCTTTACGGGCTTTTTACTCGGCTGAAATGTGGAAGTCGGCTTTCGAGGCGTGGCCGATCGGTTAGGATTCGCCAGGGCTACCATTTCGGTGGCGAACGCTTAGATCAACGGAGGGGTATTGATGGGAATGGATTTGCGTGCTGCGGCCTCCAATGGGCATTGAAAAGTTGAAAGTGCATGCGCGATCGATGGAATTCGAAGTAGAGAGCTCAATTATTCGGTTCGGCGTCGCTGGTCGGGGCGTAGAAAGAAACTGTCTGGTAGTCGTCACAAGAGCCGTTCAATGTTCAGTGAAGTAGTGGGGATTTTGAAGGCAAAAACACGTTACAGCGCGCTCGCAGCTATTTACAGTGGCGCGAAGTCACATGTTCCACTGCTTTGTACGGCAACGTTAATGGGTGACTAACTTGTCGTTTGTAGATTCCAAAGTTCTCTTGACTGAATGATAGTTATTGACAATCTTTTAATACGTCTTTACTAACAGACGCTGTAAAAGTAAAGCAAACTCCCGATTCATAGGTAGTGGCCGAACCCGATAGATACCTGACCTGAGCTTGCACAGACAGTCTGGCAACACCCCGCCACCAACATCATCACGATAAATGCCTTCAGTAGTCGCCATTGGCAGTTTTGAAGCTCCCACCCCGCCAGTTATTCATGACTGTGATGATAATAATGGTCGCCCAAACAGCACGTGGATCAGACTGCTCATTCGTGGTGACAACCAACATGAAGCTAGTCCGAGCGACTGCAACGGTCGGGACGTCACGCATCCGCTCTTGACCCAGCACTAAATCATGACGCATCGTTGTTACCTACCTTATACAGAATATCCCTAAACAAGCATTTCAACCGTGCAGTAAATTAGAAAAATGTCTTGTGAGATGATTGTGACTCGGATAGCCGAATATTCGCTTACTGACTGGCCATAGCTTGGTTCAACACCACCAGCACCCTGCGACATGTGTCTGCCATCCCAGAGGGCATCCCCGCTTCCAAGCTGGTAGAAGGTCTGCAGAACCATGAAAACTACATCAAGCACAACCCGCACATGGCAAAGTACGAAGCAATCGCCGCCCCCCGCAGATCCAGCTCCCACAATTCCCGCGGCGCGTGGAGTCACGGCTACGGGTGAGCCCGACTGCTACCGCGTTACGGACAAGGTACACACCCTCCCCGCTGGTCTCTGGGACTCGGACATTGTCAGCACCTACGAGATGATTGATGTCCGAGACGGCGTGTTTGTGCGCATTCGCAGTCCAATGAGCGTCATGATGGAGTCGCTCTGGCTTGTCAAGGAGACGGAGCAAGGCAGGCTTGAGTTGGTGGAGGAGCAGGTGATTACAGCGTCGCGGCTGCTCATGAGTACGGTGAAATCAATGTCAGAGGCTGGATGGGAGGGAATACATGCTTCCATGATCAAAAAGGCACAGGAATAGCTTCCAACTTGATTCTATAGATCAACCACTCTCATCTATAAATAAACTCCCCCGTCTCTACACCCATAACCCCGCAACGCCATGTAATGAAATCTAGATTTTGGATTCGGGCTGTGTTTCCGCCGGGTATTTCAAATACTTGTCAAACCAGGCCAGCATTTCGTGGATGACATGCTCGTGCGATTCCCTAGCCTGGTAATGATGCGGCTCGTGAGGCAAAAGAACCAGCTTAGCCGTGCCTCCGTTTCCGCGCACGGCCGAATAAAAGTTGGAGGACTGCATCGGTGCCGTGCCAGGGTTGGCGTCATCCGCGCCGTGAATGATGAGGATGGGATGCTCCAGCTTGTCCGCAAAGAAAAACGTCGACGCCTTGCGGTAAGGCTCGGGCGCCTCCCACACGCTTCGGCGCTCGTTCTGGAACCCAAAGGGCGTCAGCGTCTTGTTGTACGCGCCGCTGGTGGCAACGCCGGTTTTGAAGAGGCCCGAATGGGCCAACAAGTTTGCCGTCATGAGAGCTCCGTGACTGTGGCCAGTGACACCAACACGTTCCGGGTCCGCGACGCCCATCTCGACAGCCTTGTCCACCGCCGCCTTGGCATTTGCGACCAGCTGCTCCAAGTATGTATCGTAGGCTTTCTTAGGATCACCAACGATTGGGAATGTCGCATTCTCGAGGATGGCATAGCCGGCAAGCAAGAGGAATTGGTGCTTGCGAAGTCGTGTAAAACGAGCCTGGGAGCCGGTGACTTGACCTGCCTGCGAGCCGCTGGCAAAGTCGCGGGGATAGGCGTAGAGAATGGTTGGTACACGCGTGCCCTCCTGGTAACCTGGGGGCGTGTGGAGATTGAAAGACAACTGAACACCGTCGTCGCGTTGATATGTTACAACGCGCTTCTGAATCTGTGAGAGAAGAGGAGTCGGGTTGGGGATGTTTGTGACAGCCCGAGTCTTGGTGCTAAAGACGGCCTCGCCCTCTGGAGCGTCTCTCTCTTCTCCAAGTGTGTGCTGGAAGACATTGGGAGTTTCAGTGGGCGACTCGTGCAGTGTGAGGAATGTTGATCCCGAGGGGTCGCTGAAAGCGAGGAAAGATTCATAAGCTGATCCGCTGCTGCGGAACAGCCTGCTGGACTTCATAATTGTGAGATCAAAGCGGTCCAAGAAAGGCCGATCTCCATCTTTTGATGAGCCTTCATCTCTGTAAAAGAATGCATTGTTGGCTTGGTAGATGACATTGAAGCCGTTTGGTGCTTTGTGGTACACAATGTTGCCAGGGTAGTTGTACCTTTCGTGGTAAGACATGTCCATGATGAGCTTGCGCTCCTGCTGAGGGTCATCGACATTGACGATATAGCGACGCTCCCACTGGATATCGATATCATATTCTATCAGAATGGCGAATGACGGGTCTTGTCCCCACGCGAGACTATTGAAGCGGTATTCGGTGCGAAGAAGCTCGCGTGGCTCCTTGTCAAATGGCGCCTCCAAGAGCATGACCTTGTCACGGTTTTCCACGTCATTCTTCCAGTCACCCTCATCGAGTGCCTCTATCCAGACTAGAGATGAAGGTGCATTGGCGCGCCATGAAAAGTTGCGCGGGCCGCAAGGAACGCCGCGAATTGGAACGCGCTCAGCCAGAGGCAGTGATGCGACTGTCTGGGTCTTGATGTCTGTGAGGTCCGAGATATCCCAAATGATGGCATCGCAAGGAAATCTCCAAAAAGTTGCATTGTATGTGTATGGCTTGCGAAGCGCAGATGTGAATATGTAGTTTCCGTCAGGTGACGCTCTCGAACCGAGGTAGAGATCGACGCCACCAATACACTGGACGGCGAGGGCATCGACGTCAACCAAGGCCAGCTGGGAAGCCATGTAATAATCAAACAAGGCTTCATCATGCTTGTTCTTGAGCGTATCACGGGCCTCATAGGTGCTACTCTGACCTTTTTGGCCATCAGTCTCCTGAATGATGGGACCCGACGGAACGCTTGGTTCTGCTGGCGGCGGTCCTCGGCCTTTAGGAACGAGCTTGACGAGAAGCTGCTTCTGATCCGGCATCCAGTTCAGCTCACCCTCGAGTAAAGGGTTCAGCCGTACGTTTGGCACCTGCCGAGCGACACCAGTTTGCCCGTCACCGACCCAAAGCTCCACAGAGTCGGCGGTGACGTTTTCAAAGGCAAAGTGGCGTCCATCGGCACTCCAGACAGGCGACGTCGTGCGTGCGTCTTCCGGTAGAGAAATGGTCATAGTTTTTCCATCCTTTACCTGGACCAGCTCTAATTTGTAGGCAAAGGTGCGAATGCCGTGACCGCCTGCTGTGTTACGCCGGTTGTAATTGGCCGTTTCCACACGCACACCAGCAAGACGCAAGTACGGGGTTGCGATATGCGAGATGGAGGGATACTTTGCTTGCGACACCAGAATGAGGCGATCGCCCGCAGGGCTTGGTACCGGGATAGGCAGTGCAGGCGCGCGCATCACGTCGAGAATATGGCTCGGCGGCTGCTTGTAGCCTGAAGCCGCCGCGGCCGCGGTGTCGGTGTCGATGTCGGTAGACATGGTGTAAACTGTGCAGCGCAAAAGCACTGCGAAAGAGAACCTATGCAAAAGCTTTGGTCTGAAACAGCAGATTGGGGTTTTTTGAAAGCAATGCAAGGTCCTAAACAATGATTGAGTGAAGAAATTTGGTCGAGGACACAACGGTGCTTTTATATGGTAGTACCGGGACGCCGTTCCGCGGAGGCGACCCACTGTGTTGTCTCAGCAAACAACCATCGCCTTGCTCGAGTAGTGCTAATAATGAGTAATGACTGTAACGGGTTGGTGCATTTTTATGTTTATTCTTATATTTCCGAGGTGCGGCTGCGAGGGGTGCCGTAATGAGACTTGGTCACCGACCTTTTGAGTGATGCTGCTTGCTGTGCAATGTGGCGGCAGCACGCTGGACACATCCGCTCTCGGGATGGTGCCATGCATATACCATGCATGTATCCCAGCGTCCGCGCGTCTGGTGGCCCCCATGCGTTGTTAAAAAAAAATTAATAAAATTCAAGGGGTACTGCCATGCTTGTGAAATTACCCGAGTGCTTTGTAGGAGTTATCTAGAAGATTGACTTTGCGACAATCTGCCGCATCGCCTTGTCCCGGGTGCATCCTGCATCATAAACACCGCCGTTTGCGCGAGAAGGTCAAGGAACTCGAATTTGCTAGCGCTGCGAATTTAACCTCAATAGATAACCTGTATCTCATGTTCGATTGAGTGCATCTCGGATGAGCCTATTCGGAAGCTTTCCAGACCAGTAACTGGCGAATAAATTCTAGATGGGCGGGAGATGAAACATTTATGTGCGCTGAACGAGCACTGTAGTATATATCAGTGGTCCATTTCTCTCAAGTACAGTACTATGGAAGCGTTTATTCGCATCCGCAGGCGGAATTTTACCTGTGAATGAAAAATGCGCAAATTTTTCATCAAAAAGGAGAACTGTAACATGAATTACGGAGAATTGCTGTTCATCGACTCTGTGATTCACCAAGGCACACGAGCACACACCGCCAGCCACACTCATGTCCCTTTCAGTTATCACGACTGCTATCTTCAACAGCAATGCAGCCCGACCAAACAACAGCATCGCAGAAATTTTAATCCCAAAGCACCAAACAAAAGCACAAAAAAAAAAAATGTGCATCGTCACCTACTTCAAGCATCTCCAGTGCAACCACATTTGGGCCGTCGTCACCGAGCCCTGCCTGCCTTACATGGGCTTCAGCAACTGCCCGAGCTTTGCGGGCCCAAGCGTGGTGGTGAATCCCGTCACGGGCAACCACGTCGGCAACATCCGAGGCGGGCGTCTCAAGGCCAAGCCAAAATTCTACAAGACCAGGACGAGGCTCTGTCCCCAGTGCGATTTGAAGGGCGCCTACGATCCGAACGTGGCGCGGCTGGTGCGTGACATGGGCTGGGGCTTTACATGGGGCAAGGACGCGGCGGACCCCGAAGCATCTTGGGGGATTGATTTGCGGCTGGGGAGCACAAAGAGTGGTTGTGCCATTCTTTAATATGTTTTTTTTCAAAGGGTTTGTCTTGGGACACGAAGGATCAGACGCGTGGGTGATTTCTCAGTTGCTTGGCTGGCATCCACGAGAGGACAACACACACAGTCGGCTTGATGAATGATGGACACGAAATCTATACTAGAGTTTGCATTGAAAACAGAATCATCGTCGTCTGTGGCATTTGATAACAACATTGTCTTTGCATTTTAACTAGCTTCAGCTCATCGTGTAAGTCGTTCTCCAACAAACGCCCCACTTGTACAACTCTTCATCGGCCAACATTTTCAACATCAACACTCCTACACCGTCTCCGACTTGATCAACAGTGTAGAATGCTGCCTACACCAGATACTTCACATGTTCCATACGAAAGGGTATACGAGCCTGCCGAAGACTCCTTCCTGCTCCTCGACACGCTCTCCTCACCCGCCGAATGCGCCTTTCTCACCAACCGCTTCGCCCACCCAGCGCCGCTCATTGTCGAGATTGGCACGGGCTCCGGCGTCGTCCTCGGCTTCGTCAATGCCCAGTGCCAGACCATTTTCGGCAAGTCCGAGATCCTGACCGCGGGCATCGACATGAATGCCTATGCGTGCCGCGCCACCGTCGCCACCGTGAAAAGGGCCGCCGCTGATGAGCAGGCATCCACGGAGGCGCGCAGCGGCACATATCTCGGTTCCAGCATGGCTGATCTGACGTCGTGCTTCCGTCCGGGCGCTGTGGATGTTCTCATCTTTAACCCGCCGTACGTGCCCACGCCGGAGATGCCAGTTCAGCCAGAGACATTCTCCCCAGAAGTGCCAGCGCCGGCGGCCGTGGACCCGTCCTTTGACGACGACTCTTACCTGCTTGCATTGTCGTATGCGGGCGGTGCAAACGGCATGGAGACGACAGATAGACTGCTTCCCGACCTGGCGACGATCTTGTCAGCGCGTGGGTGCGCGTATGTATTGCTGTGTGCCCAGAACAAGCCAGATCTGGTAAAGATGAAGATACCAGAGCTGCTTGGTAAGGGCTGGAAGGCACAGACAGTAGGGTCAAGTGGCAAAACGGCCGGTTGGGAAAAGCTTCAGGTGCTACGAATATGGAATGAAGCTGTCTTGTGAAAAAACTATTCTTGGCCCTTTAGAAAAAAGCTCTGCTTTGTACATAGCTGGCGTACATATTACGATTTAATGACCCAAAAGTTCTTCTTTCGCGATTTCAATCCCAAGCATTTGACATGACATCAATTATCTTTCTTTTTGTTTAAAACGTGGATAAGAAGCGACGAATTTACTCAAGACTTGTAGAGAAAAATGAGTACACGGTTTTTTTGTGCGTCTCTGAATATGGCCAAACATCCAAAACGCCTGATCCATCGAAACCCCATTAAATTTTTGGTCGTGATTGCTGGAGAAAAACAAATGAGAATCGGCTTTGCCTTTTGCTTTTTGCCTTTGTGCATGCTCGCGTTGATAAATCCTCGTTCAACAGGCGCGCAGGCCGCAGCCTCGTTGAGCTGTGGTGATAGCCGCCTGGATTGATCCGTCAACGTCTTTCCGGTTTCTGTCGCCATCGTCCCTGCTTCCTCTCACTCGAAACCGAAGAGGCCTTCCACCCGCCTTTAATAGCCCCTTCAAGGACGACCACGGCCTCGTCCGCGTCCGCGACCGCGTCCTCTAGGACCGCCACGTCCGCGGCTGGCGCGCTCAGCTTCCTTGCGTGCCTTGTTCTTGGGCTTAGGTGCATCGTCAACTAATAGTGTGTCCAGAGGGAGCGAATCGGGAAGGATAAAGTAGCGGATGGTCGAGCCGCGGATGTTCATCGTATCGAGGGAGATGGGGTCCTGGCCCCTGGGAGTCATCTTGACGGTACGTAGGGCAGTGTTCATCTGGGGTGTCACCGACGAAATGGTGCCGTTGACGATGGTGCCTAAATGGAGCCATGTTAGTCGCAGTCGCCTGCACCGCGATGCGCTAGCGGAATTCAGATGCTTCCGACTTTACACATACCATTCTTGAGCTCGATAGTCACCGGCTCATTGACGCACTTCATCAAAAATCTAGCCGCGGAGAGTCAGCGTTGTCCTGAGCTGAAGTGACATCTGCCCCAGATAGTCGCGAGCATATTTCGGTCGATTGGGAGCGCCGAAGAAAGCCATCACTTACCTGACGAGCTTCATTGTGATAGATTTCGACTGAGAAAAGGCCGAAGATTCGAGCTCGCTATAGTTCTTGCACAATGCCTTGTCGCCCGTCTTGAATCGGTGGAGCTGCTGCCGACTGGCGTTTGATAGCACGCCGAAAAAACAGCCCTGGAAGCTCAGAGCTCGATGCACGTGATTTGGCGTTGCTAGCTCCACGTGACTCGGCGTTTATGGAAACGCTTTGGCTGGATGCCTTGTTCTCTTATCGATATCATCTTTCCAGTAACTGAGGAGCGCCCCACATCGGGACCTGTTCAGTCTCGAATATAAGTGCGGCATCCTTAATTATCGAACTCGTCACTGGCAGTTGTGTGAACGTTGTTTGCTGCAGATCCCTGCCATTTGTCGTTCGAGACTGACCAGGACGACAAAAGGACGGGGAATTGCATAATCTGCCGAACCTTCACCCAGGCATCAACACTCAATCTTGGGTTCTCTCTCCCGATATCCCCCACCATTCCAGGCGTCGCCTGGCTCGAAAATCCACCCGACAAAGAATACAACATTGGAAAAGCTGTCGTTATGATCTCTGGGAGAGGAAGCACTGGCACGAGAGGCCGCGTCCGTCCGCCTCGTCGAATTGCTCGAGTATGTACCTTTATTTGGCCTGCTGTCACTGGTTCTCAGTTCAGGCTGCCGCCATCTAGCCAGTCACGGAGTTCTTAGCTGCATACCATGTGTGCTAACACAATTTTTATCTAGCCAAACGGCAGCGGCGAAGGAGCCGACTTCGAATCATGCTGGAATATGCTCAAAGAAGCTTTACGCGACATACACAACAAAAGCTGTGGCCGGCTGTCATTCGAGGAACTCTACCGAGCCGCCTACAAAATTGTCCTTAAAAAGAAAGGCGATATTCTCTACGAGCGCGTCAAAGAATTCGAAGAGGACTGGTTTACCAATAATGTCATTCCAAAGATCAAGGCGCTCTTCACCAATAGCCTCATCAATGTGGGGATGGATAGAGGTGGTGCAACATCCGTGAACGAACGACGCCAAACCGGCGAAAACTTCCTCAAAGGTCTGCGCGATACCTGGGAGGACCACAACATGTCGATGAACATGACGGCAGACATCCTCATGTATCTAGACCGCGGTTATATCCAACAGGAGCTGCATAGGGTTCCCATCTTTTCGACCACGATTGCACTGTTCCGAGACAACATCCTGCGCTCTTGCCTTAATAAGGACTCTGAAAGCTTAGTTGTTGATATTCTTATCACAGTCATGCTGGATCAAATTGACATGGAGCGCGAGGGCGACATTATCGACCGGAATCTTATCCGCAGCTGCAGCCGCATGCTCAGTAGCCTGTACGAAGCCGAGGACGAAAACGAATTGACAAAGCTGTACTTGGTATTGTTCGAACCGCGCTTTCTCGAAAACAGCCAAGCATTCTACAGCCGTGAATGCCAAGAATTACTGCAAGTGGCAGACTCTTGCAGATGGCTGAGGCATGCAAAGAAACGACTGGAGGAAGAGAAAGACCGATGCGGAACTACGATTGAACCCGAAACCGAAACGAAAATCACATCTGTTATTGATCAGCAACTCATCTTGAAGAATTTGGAAGAGTTTCTTAACATGGATGGTAGTGGCTTACGATGGATGATCGATAACGAAAAGTCAGAGGAGCTGTCGATCTTGTACCACCTCGTCGCAAGGGTTGACAAGAACAAGACATCCTTGCAAAGAATTTTGCAAAATCGTGTTGTTGAAATGGGTCTTGAAATCGAAAAGACTCTTCAGAACACCGACTTTTCCGTGCCCCCGGCAGGCGAAGAGGGCACAGGTGAGAAGAGTGAGAAACCAAAGGCGCTTACGGCCTCTTTCCAGCAGACTGCGGCAGCGATCAAGTGGGTTGACGATGTTCTGGCCCTTCGAGAGAAGTTTGACACAATGTGCACCAACTGCTTCGAGTCAGATTTGATCATCCAAACAGCTCTTGGCAAGAGCTTCTCCGAGTTTATCAATTTATTCTCGCGAAGTTCTGAATACGTTTCACTTTTCATCGACGAGAATCTGAAGAAAGGCATCCGTGGCAAATCGGAATTGGAAATCGACGTGGTCCTGGATAAAGCGGTCGGTCTAATACGCTATCTTCAGGATAAAGACATGTTTCAGACGTACTACCAGCGCCATCTTGCCCGACGACTGCTTCACGGCAAGTCGGAGAGCCACGATGTTGAGAATCAGCTCATCTTGAAAATGAGACAAGAGTTTGGCCAGCAATTCACCGTGAAGTTGGAGGGCATGTTTCGAGACTTGGTTACCTCAACAGAGCTTACAGCCTCATACCGCGACCACGTTCGTACGTCGGGAGATGGCAGCAGAAAGACCGAGCTGGGTATTAATGTATTGACTATGAACTGCTGGCCACAAGAAGTGATGGGTCGCACCGCACAGATCGGCGAAGGCTCTCGAATCACTTGCAATTACCCACCAGATATTGCAAGGCTACAAGCGAGCTTTGAGCAATTCTATTTGGCATCCAGAAACGGAAGAAAGCTTACTTGGATTGGGACGACGGGCAGCGCTGATGTGCGATGCACATTCCCAGCGATCCCAGGAAAGTCGGGCGGTCTGGCAAAGGAAAGACGTTATGAGATCAATGTGCCAACATATGCTATGGTTGTCATGATGCTTTTCAACGATGTACCCGATGATGAACAGCTTTCGTTTGAGGAGATTCAAGCAAAGACTGCGATTGCGACAGCCGATTTAATGCGAACTCTCACTGCGATTGCGGTGGCGCCCAAGTCGCGTATTCTCCTCAAAGACCCGCCAACAAAATCGGTCAAGCCATCGGACAAATTTTCCTTTAATACACTCTTCCAGAGCAAGACTATGAGAATAAAGGCGCCAATCATTAATGCCGTCTCGAAGGTTGAGGATGCATCTGAGAGAACAACGACTGAAGAAAAGAACAACGAAACACGGGCACATATTATTGATGCAGCTATTGTGCGAATCATGAAGTACGTCACAAGTTGGCTGCGGACACTGGATCATTCTTGCTAACTACCTTGTGCAGATCGCGAAAGGAACTAAGCCACACGTTGCTTGTTAGCGAGGTTTTGGCCCAGTTAGCAGCTCGATTTAAGCCCGAAGTACCATTTATCAAGCGCCGTATAGAAGACCTGATTGGTCGGGAATATCTCGAGCGGCCGGACGATGAAGACGCACCAGGCGTGTACCGCTATGTGGCGTAAGATACATTAATTCATGTCGAGAGAAAAGGGAACTGGTTCATTTAGTTCATGTAAGGAGTTGGGGCGTTATTTACGGAGCATCAAGGTTTGGTCATTTAGCCTGGCATGGAAGATGGCGTTTGCTCAATGCATGCGATGGAACATATGCATCTCACCAAGATACGATATACGAAGACATTTGCAGTTTATTCTTGTTGAGATGACGCTCACCTGCTCGAGACTTGTGCTGTATGGAGCATTTGGTGTGCCCACAAAGCTGGGCAGAAGCCGCACATGCTGATTTGCTTTCACTGTGCATTTGGAGGTCATACACATTGCATATTTGATTTGTAATGCAACTTGGTGGCGCAGAGCTCCTTATGTGTCTAGTGTGTGATCTATTGTAAATTATCATTCATCATTCGGCTTGCTCCAGCCTATTGCAGACCATTGCCAGTGCGCTGTGCGGCTCGGCCTCGGATCGTGGGGGTCCCCACCGAGGCTGCTCCGACCCATTGTCCGAACGACTCTCTTCCTTGAGCATCAACAGCATCAATCACGCTACGTCGCGTGAATAAGAATCGGCAATACCGCCCATTGAGTTTAGACTGCAAATCGACCATCTACTCATTCTCATCTCCGTCATTCATCATGTTTGCGCTACGACGGACAATGGCTACCATGAGCCCTCAGGCCTCGATCCTGAAGCAGGCCGGCAAGGTTGTCTGCATTGGTCGCAACTATGCGTGAGCCTCATATGATCGAAAACGACGCGCCATCTGAGCTGACGATTACCCCCCCTTTCTTTCCCTTCTTTCTTTCATTCAGTGATCACATTGCGGAGCTGTCCAATGCCAAGCCCAAGCAGCCCTTTTTCTTCCTCAAGCCGCCGTCGTCGATGCTGTTGCCCGGCGAGGGACCCTGCGTGCGTCCCAAGGGCGTCGACATGCATTTCGAAGTTGAGCTGGCGCTGGTCATGGGCAAGATGGTACGCGACCTGAAGCCCGATGACCTCGAGGGTGCGCTGGACGCTATCAAGGGTACGAATCAACCGCCACATTTTTATTGAATTGAAAAAAAAAAGAAGAAGAAGAAGAAGAAAAAGCTAATCTCCCTGCCAGCCTACGCCGTCGCCATCGACATGACGGCGCGCAACACGCAAAACGAGGCCAAGCGCAAGGGCCTCCCCTGGGACATTGCCAAGGGCTTCGACACGTTCCTGCCCGTGAGCGGTGTCATCCCCAAGGACGCCGTCGCGGACCCGCACGACGTCGAGCTGTTTCTCGAGGTCAACGGCCAGGTCAAGCAGCGCGGCTCCACCAACCTCATGATCTTTCGCATCCCGCGCATCCTTAGCGACATTTCGAGGGTCATGACGCTGCAGCCCGGCGACGTGGTGCTGACGGGCACGCCGGCTGGTGTCGGCCCCGCCGTCCCGGGCGACAAGGTCCGCGCGGGGGTGCGCGTCGCTGGTCGGGAGCTCCTTGAGGGCAAGATTGAGTTGGTGGTGGAGGAATCAACCCGCGACTACGAGTTTGCCGAAACGTGAATGGAAAAGTTTCGGGGGTTTATTGGATTTTTTGTTCTTGGTTCTGGCGGTTTCGTGCACTCTTTGTGTATAAGAGGAGAGAAAAGAAGAAAGATTAGCCATGGATCCTCCCATCCAAGGAATGGGCATGCTCTTCATTGCGATTTACGCATTATTAATACATGCGCTGATGTTTGCTTTTCCCCAGCCGTACTCTGCTTGCGCCGCGCTACCCCATCACTCGTTCTCTCATCACTTAAAGAAAGAAAGGCTTCTTCTTCATCATCTCATCATCGCAGGATCCCCCCCCCCCCCTCGCAAAAGTTCGTTCTCCCTACGCCAGGTTAGGATCGGGAATGGACCCCGGGGGCGGCGCCCAGTCGGCCAGGGCGCCGCAGCGCTCGCAGCGCCTCTTGTCGTCGTCGGCGCGAAACGCCTCGACGGCGGCCTTGATCTGGGTGCCGAGGTCGGTGAGGTGAAAGGCGGCCTCGTGGACGACGACGGCGCCGGGGCAGCGGGCGCAGTACCAGCGCATGCGGTCGAGGGCGTCGGCGGGGCGGCGCTGCTCGACGACCATGCCGACCGTGTTGGCGAAGCGGACGGGGTTGTGCGGCGTGTTGGGGGGAAGCAGGAACATGTCGCCCTCGCGGATGAAAATGTCGCGAAAGACGCCGTCGTCGTCGACGACCTTGAGCATCATGGTGCCCTTGTGCTGGTAAAAGTACTCGGGCGTGGTGTTGATGTGGTAGTCTGTGCGGGCATTGGGGCCGCCGACAATCTAGGCACGTCTTGTTAAGGAAAGTGTCTTTTCCCTCAGGAAGGTGCATAGGTGAACGGGAAATTATATGTACCATGATTGTGAAGCCCTCATTGTAGACGCAGTAGTTGTTGACGGGAGGCTGTAGCAAGTGGCCGTTTTCTTCCAGCCTAGAAGCTTGTTAAATACGTTGTAAACCATGTGTAGGGACGGAAGCTAATAAAGTACCATTTGGGCAAGTTTATAGGAGGGCCAAGCATCGTGCAGACGAAATCAGAGTTGATGTTTAGAGGTGAGCGGGGGGTGACTGATTACAGATGAGGGGGGGGGGAAAGATGTGTAGATGACGGTAGAGATGTCGTTGTACGTTTTGAGGAATTGATCGAAAAGAGAAACGAGATGAGATGAGATGTTTAGCCGTGCCTATAAATAGGAAAAGTAACAATTTCGGGCGGGGTGCCGGGCTGCATGTCAAAAAAAGATGACGATTGAAACCGGCTGCTAGCGGCCGATTTTTAAAAGTGGCGCGCCCGCCCGCGCTCGCTCTCGCGGGCAACGCGGGCAACCCCTCCCCCCCGTATCGCCGCCGCTCCGAGCTTGCCGGCTCGCTGATAAATACAAAAACTTGCCCCAAACTCGCATGTTGCAGATTGGCGTGATGTAATTAATTAAGCGAAGCGATGTGGCCTGCAGGAAATCGAGCATTGAAATCTGGTGCATGTTTACTAATCTAATTAGACCCCCGCGCCCTTGGTGATGGAAAGCGCAAAACAGGTAACGTGATTTATTCCCATTGTGCAGCTGCCGCGTTGCGATTGGTGCCGACGCACTCGTTTTGGCAAAAGCAGTGGCGGTATATATATGCAGGCTTGGATGCTGTGCAACGTTGCGGGAATGTGGGTGGGCTGCAAAAAGAAGGGGGGAGCAAATAAGGAACAAAAAACTCCATCAAGCCTCTATTTCAAGTCCATCGTCCAAAGTCGCAGTTTGGCGGCCTTGCAGCTCGTCCATGCCCTTCCTTTCCTAGCATTTCTTTATCTTGATCCAAAACGTTCATGACGCCACAACTACGCCACAGCACAAAGGCCGCGCTGGCACCAACTGGGGAAAGGAGGGGGCCAACGTTAGTGTGTCTCAGCTTTTTCCACGGCCGTGGGTGGCAACATCAACCAGAGACGTCGCATTTAACAATTAAAGAAAAAGGGTTGCAACTCTGTAGCTTTTTAAGTTCTTCACATGTAAAGCTACCTAGTCCGTCCATCTCAACAAATATTCATATTCATCTTTTCGTTTTTCTGATATTAAACAAGCTTCCGTGTCACCTGCCCGATAGCTTGTGAGCAAGTTTCCAGCCAGTAACATCACTCCTCCACCAGCCACACTTTCCTCACACGACCGCTTGAGCACGTTTTCCGCCTACCTACTCTGTCTCTGCCTGTTAGGCTTGTTCACTTCATCACCGCAATTCTACTGATTCTTTCCTTCTTTCCATTTCTTCTTATCTTCTCTTCTCCGCCCTTGGCACCACGACCCAAACTCAAAAGGAAACTTAGAGCGTTTGCCCTACACTTCTCATGCCAGCCATGGATCACTCGCAAATGGACCACTCTGGCCACATGGACCACGGCGGCGATGGCATGAACGACATGTGCAGCATGAGCGTAAGCGCTCTGCTCCCCCACCCCCCTCCCCTCTGGGCAGCATCTCTCTCCTCTTAGGCTGCGGATCCGGGGTTTTGATGCTGATGATTTACTTGTAGATGCTCTTCACCTGGGACACGACCAATCTCTGTATCGTCTTTGAGCAGTGGCACATTCGCACGACCCCGGGGCTCATCATTTCTCTCATCGCCGTCGTGCTCATCGCCATGGGCTACGAGGGACTACGCGCCACGTGCCGCGTGTATGAGAAGTCGATAGATGCAAGAGTCGAATCCGCGCCCAGTGAGTCTTGTTCTTCTCCTCAAGTCTCCCCTCCCCCCACCCGCCAACTGCTTGCTTCCCTCCCCACCCTCCTCACCTGAATATATTGATACTGCTTGTGTGTTTGTGTACCAAAATATTGTCAACTCTCAAGATTGCGTGTCATCATGTCAAGGATCATGTCTTGTGTCAAGTCTGTATCTTGGGAAAACACGCGTTCGATGCATCTCATTGTCCCGTTGCAAGACTCACAGCACCGCGCGCAAAAGACACTGGCACAATTCTGACTACACGTTTTCTATGACTGTGATATTGGGTATACATTTACTAAAGCAATGTGACCTCTACCTTGACGCAAAAGACGCATTTCAAGACCCCGTTACTGAGACCACCCCGTTTCTCCGACCAGGACAAAACCGCGACTCTCTTGCCCGCCACAGCCATCTCATCAAGTCTTTGCTCTACGGCTTTCAAAACTTTTATGCGTTTATGCTCATGTAAGTTGGCCCACACCCACGACAGCGGAGACTCGGCACTAACTATACCAGGCTTGTCTTTATGACTTACAACGGCTGGGTCATGGTGGCTGTTTCTTTGGGTGCCTTTCTTGGCTATTACGTCTTTGGTAGTCACACCTCGGCCACGAAAGAAACTGCCTGCCATTGATGGATACCAAATGACCAAGCTAGCAGCTATCTTCACACACTTGATTATCTTGCTAATTAGCAAGACTGCCTCTACCACATACTTGATTACCTTGCCAGTCAGCAAGACTGCTTCTTCCCTATACTCTATTCACCCTGCCATTAGCAATACCACCTCGCATACCATTTCAGTACAGAATGCCATCATAGCACGTTATAAACATTCATCTATACACTTTGCTCATATAGGCCCATGCTTTCTCTATCAATAAATGTCTAATTTCCCTTATATCCTTGAAGGTCCCTTGCCAGCCGCTTCTTCGAATGCACCATCCTTTTCTGCAATCCTTATAATGTCGGCATCACCCAGACCTGGGTTGTGTTCCACCTCGGGAGGCTCACCGTAGGCTATGCGCGCAGCGTCGACCATGACACGTCCCGTCATGCCCCAGACCTTGAAGCGGCCCTCGAAATCGATATCCTGCTTGGTCTCCTCGACGGCGGCGCTGCCCTGGACCGGCCGCGACACGTGCTGGTTGTTGACGGGCACGTAAAAGTTGTGCACGCGCCAGGCGACGTCCTTCCAGTTGATCCAGGCGCCGTCGTACCAGTGGCCGGGGGGCAGAACGTGACCGGGCTGCGGCGGCAGGTCGCGCGACTTGAGAAAGTTGTAAAACGGCGCGGTGAAGACGGCCGCGACCTCGCTGGCGTCGAGCGTCGGCACCAGCGTGTGCTCCACGACGGGAGGTGACCCCTCGGGGCCGGGCGCGTCGGCGTGCAGGTACGCCACGCAAGGGGTGACGACGACGTGGGTGCGGGCCAAAAAGGGCGGCAGGTAGCAGAGTTTCTCGACACGAAAGGGCGGTGGGATCTTGCGATCCTCTACGGGGAGGCCGATTTCCTCCCAGGCTTCGCGCCGGGCTATTTGATCTATGTTTTGAAAGGTAAATTGTGTGAGCATGGCAGCAAGATCAAAGAAGAGAGCAGTGGGAGGGGCGGGGCGGGGCGTATCAAATTGAGACGGCCCCTTCCGGGGGACTTACAAGGTGATTCGTTGTGAGAGTCGGCTTTGCCGCCGGGAAGGGCGGCGTGGCCGGAAAAGTTGCGCAGGCTGGCGGCTCGCATGGTGATGACGACGCGCAAGTCTCCAAAACGATCAGCATAGAGCAGGATCAAGACGGCGGCGCGCATCCGCACGGGAAGACGGTCCCATAGCGGAAAAGGCGGCGGCTTGTAAGCGCGCAGACGATGTATGGCGGCCTGTCGCAGAAAGAGATTTGTTTTAGTACTGGATTGAACATGGTGGCAGCACGAAGCATCTGAAAAGACAAAGTGGAAATAGTAAAGAGCACGGATTCAGGGGCTGTGATCATGACAGTGAATGCCAACGAGAGGGCTACAAGGAGAGGCCCGGAGACAGCCTGTCGGGGACGGGGACGGGGCGGAGCGGGACATGTGAGGAGAGGTTGAACGGACGGCAGGGAGGCAACGCATGTTCACATTTCAACAGCCTCATCTTGGGCACTTGCCTGCTTGATAGAGAATGCTGGACCACGCAGGCTGAATTTGGGGTAATTGCTTGCAAGTGGAGTTGTTGGTAAGACGCCATCACGAGTTGGAGATGGCCACGCTGCAGGGGCCGCGCCCATGCAATGCAATGCAGTCGGCCGGCCATGGAGTGGAGGGGAGGGGGGGAGGGGGAGGGGGGTACGCAATATTGTGTGTATATCAGATGAGAATGGCAAAAAAGCCCCGGTGTGTTGACGGATTCGGGGGGGGGGGGGGGAGGGGGGCTCGCCCTTTGCCACTTACCTTGGAAAACGGATTCAGAGGTGCCATGGCAGCGGCATCGTAGTACGCCGAGGCGAGTTGACCAGCGATACAATCAGAATCGCTGATAAGATGCTCGTGGATCCTCCCGCTCGTGTCTGGCGCAAGAAGACTCGGTGCTGTAGCTGCGGCGATGCGGCCGGGTATATGTGTGATTCGGACGGTGTGAGCCACAGCCGAGGCAGCCGTCAGCCAGGATGGTGGTACCTGAGTGGTGGGGGATGGGAGTAGTGGTGGTGGTGCTGGTGTTGCTGTGGTCGAGTCTTGCTGCAAAGGCGGAATGGCGGCGGTATGGTCTATGTTTTGAGTAGACTCTAGCATAACGCTCTTCACGAATCTTTTCACGTTCCCTGAAAGAAAGGGTGATGCGGGCTGGGGAAACGGTGGTTTGCGGAAACAATAGCCCTTGTTTTGTAAATTCCCCGATTTTTTGGCGGGGAATTTATTTGTAGATGCTTGGGGTTCCCGATGTTGAGCAATGACGGCACTCTTTTCTTTTTTTTCCGAATTATTTTTTTCTAAGGCGATGCGGAAAAAAAATAATTCAATGGCAGAGATGATGGAATAAAAGGACAAGCAAAAATCAACACGAGCCGAAAATAGAGGGCCGTTGGGCAGCACAAGTCGGCCGTAACTCTTTTTTCTTTGGTCTTGGCTTGTGATGATGTAAAAGGGAGAGCCCAAAAGGTGGAGGGAGGGGCTCCGAATACCGGGGACCGTGCAAGCGAGTGAGCATGTATGTACTTGATCACGTCTATGTAATACTACGGCATGATCAAGTACCTCAGTGTCGCCCCTCTGTAGGAAGTGTCAGCCACTTAGGTAGCCATTGTGGCGCTGCTTCAGCTGGCTGGCTGCTGCCTGCAACTTGAACAAAACGCAAGCAACTTTACAGGTATCAACAGCTTTAACAAAATTTTCCGCCGTCTTTTGTTCAGTAATTATTCTTTATTGACCGAATTCTCTAGTGGATACTAGGCCTTTTCGCAACGCAATTTTTTTGGACAAGAACTTTGCCCGATTGTTACCCCAGATTGTGGCGTCCAACTGCCGTCGTCTCCAACTTCCCCAGACCGCGCGCTCCGCCGCCAGCCGCCAGCACCGCCCCTCCGGACGTGGCCGGACATCCATCCCATCACTACCTAACAACCATCATTCTCTCCTACTCGATTCTTTTACGCATCATGTATCTCATGAGTATTTTCAGGCATAATAATGACAACATCAATAAACTTTCCAACCTATAAAACCTTGCTTGAAGAAGAAAAAAAACACTATAGTGATGCGTTACTATTCCCCTTCTGCCCCAGAACAAATTCGTAATCTCGTTATGCTATACTATATTTTGGATATTATTCGACAATTTCGACAAGCCCTTACATAATCACACCCGGGCTCACACTGTGAAAGTACGACCTGTGGCTGTAGGCCCTGATCTGTCTCGTCTTTTTTGGCTTGACAACCTTGGACTTGGACTTGGGCGATGCCACTTCCGAAGAGGCACGCGGCTCCACGGGCTCCGATGCGCGCAGTACCCGAATCGACTTGCGCAGGTCCGTTCTGCGGCGCTCCGCGGGTGAGAGCAGCGCTAGATCGCGGGCGTTGGCGAACAGGCCCTTGACGCCTCCCGCAGACGACGCTCTTTCCTTGGCGTCCCCGCTGGTGGACGGCGCCGGCTTCACCTTGTCGTCACTGCCAGACGACAACGGCGACGGCTTGTTGTCCTTGTCGTGTTCTGGGCACTTGATCCGCTGCACGGCCGGCCATTCCGACGACGAGCGACAGTCCCCCTCATCGCTTCGCCGCCACCATCGCCGACCCGCGCCACGCCCTGCCTCGTCGTCGTCAGTGGCCTCGCCGTTGTCGCTGCCGTAGTCAAAGACGCTGTTCTGCGTTGCGGGGGGTTGCTGCCGAGTCCGAAACTGCATTGCTGATGGCGGCGGCGGCGTGCTGGGCCTCGGAAAGAGGGTATACCGATGCGGAGACGGCGGGGGCAGCGGAACGCCGACGGCTGACAGTCGCGCGGGGCAGTGCTTCTTGCGCGTGTCTTCCTGCAGAGACGGCGCAGGAGACGCGACTCGCGCTGGCGCAGCTGGGGGAATGGGTGGGAGTGGCCGAAGTGGCGGAGCGAACGGCGGAGGCGGATATATGGCCGGGGACACCGTCGACGACGTTTGCTTCCTGGCATCTTTTGTCCGGGCATTGTCCCACAGACGGGTAATGGCCGCGGTGCTCGCTTGGCGTAGCTTCTCCGTCGTCTTGGCCTTTTTTAAACGCTCGCCAGACGGGCCATGCTGCTTTGACAAGGTCGACGAAGCTGGTTTCCGCGACTTGTCAGACCCGCACGAGGTGGCAAGCTCCGCCGCGAATCGATGGTAATCATTGGCGGCACGCCTATCGGTGAACTGCCCGTACACCGGGTTCCACCGCACCGGCATCTCGCTGCTCAGGCGAAAATTTACGCCCGGCGGATGGGTTGGGCTGTGCTCGCTGTTGCAAGGCGATACAGAGCCGTCGCTGGGCAATCTCTCTTGCCGTCCGACGTTGAGCGGTGGAGGCACATGCACAGTCTCGAGTGTCCGAGGCACCCACGAGTCTCTGCGGTTCAGCCAGCACTCCTCGTCTATCTCGAGCAGTAGGGGCAGCAGACCCTCTTCCAGACTTAGGCGGCACTGCTCGTCTTCCTCAGATTCGGATCCCGATTCTGGGTCCGAGCTCGGAGCACCTGCGGAGAAGTCTGCACCATATATTGAAGTATATTCATGCAGAGTATAGGGGTCGACCGAAGGAAGATCCAGATCATGCCCGATGAGCTGGTTGATCTTTTTGGACGATCGTGAGCCCGATGCGCCACGATCAAAGCTTGACGCTCTGTTATCCCTGCCCAGCGGCTGCGGGGGTACCTTCTCTGAGGTGTGCAAGCTCGGTGAGTGATATGATGTGTCGTCTGTGATTCGCCGATCCTGCGTTGACATTGCGCTATTCCAGACCGCCGACGTCTGCAAGAGTGACTTTAGCTGAGGGTACGGTTGGCCAGGCATCTGCGATGGCATCCATATTCCTGGTTGCCGACGCAAGTCACGCGGCGACGGTCCCCGAACTGGCACAGGAACACGCGGCAGCGGTTTTTCCCGGTCCAGCATCTCGTATTTGCTGAGGCGGCGACCGGGATGAGGGTAAGCATCGCGCTCCTCAGCCTCGGTCAGGGCGATGGCGGGCTTGATGCGCGGGACAGCCATGTTAGTTGGTCTGATTGATCAGAGCAGGTGGCGTGTGCAGGTATAAGCTGCGCGAGGATGAGTGTTGAAGCCGCGATAGGTCGAAACTCGGCCACGACAAAAGAAGATGGTGAAAAGAGAAGACCGCGAATAGGTTGATGGCAAACCAAGATGGATAAAGGTAGTGTTGTAGCGCCTCCGGAAAGGCGAGCAGTGAATAAACGGCAGGCAGAGTGTATCGCTCACAGAGGTGGGACAACAACTGCCAAGCAGCTCCTCATCACAGCCGGAAACGGGTCGGAAAAACGCTGTGAGTCGGCTGTCTCTGGCGTACTTGTGAGCCCTCTGGCCACGCACGAGGCAAAGGGAAAAGGACTGGAAGCAAATGTGATAGTATCGATACAAACTGTATGGTTGAGTAGGCAAAAGGCTAAAAAGTAGCACGCATCATACAAGGCGTTCGCCTAGGTGCGTCTTTGGTGGCCCAGCCCTTTGTTTTGGTTTTTTGAATTTGGGAATTTACTTTCAAAGGAAACCTTGTCGTCGATATATTTGAAGACGCACGCACACAGGCACCCCCATACAATAGGCCTTGAGCAAGGTTGACAAGACGCCACACAGAATCGAGAAGGGGGTTCTGGGTAGGTGGCGGGGCCAGAGAAGAGTAGGTGAGTTGAATGTCTTAGTGTGAGGGCATGTGTGTGTGACGCCCCCGGACACGGAGCCTGAATATACACCTCGTTGTCTACCACAATGCAGGCGACCGGGGTTGCTGCGAGGCGCTGGATGGTCTTGTTTGCGGCATATTGCATGATGATAGGTTTGTGTCCCGGCCAGGGTGTCCTGCTCTTCTCCTCTTCCCCCCGATGCAGCTGATCATCGTCGTCCCAATCTCATCGTTGTAGATTATTGGCCGCGCCCGCTTTCAGGGTCAGGGACGTAAGAGATACATACTTGGGAGTCTATTGCCGAGTCCATGTCATCAACTCGGGGTTCTGGTTAGCTTCTGTTAGCCTTGACTAGTTTGCTACCCAATCTGAAATGGGCGGGAGCCAACTTGGCAAGGAGGAGCCTGTTTATTCTTGGTGCCTTTTTCGATGCTTTTTTTTTTTTTTTTTGGTGGAAGCTTGACGGACGAGCGATTTCTGGGCAAATGAGACACGGCCAAAAGTGCAGCACACAAAAAGTTGTACGACAATATTTGAGTGCTTTCTCTTTTCGCGCCCGCAACACCCGAGGGGTCGGCAATCGAGGGCGTGGAGCAGAAGCGCTACCTTGTTCTTTTCCTGGCACTCGATTGGTGGCGTCATGATGCGTGACAAGGGTTGGTGAGGGCGCATGCATTGAGCGTCATGACCGGCTGTGATTGTGTTCGGCTAGAGGGCTACCGGGTGGGTGGTACTGAGCCGATGGAAAGCAAAAGGAAATAACAGAGACAACGGTGATTAAGGGTCAAGGCCGCTTCCCGCGATTAGATGATGTTTTTCTTCTCGACTTCTTCTGGTGTCGACAGACAGAAGTCCACGAGGGGCTCAACTTCCAGACGACAAGAGCGCCCAGACAGGGGGGACCCTGTTGATTCAGGGTACTAATCACGAGTAAAAATTGCGGAGTCGATCGCAAGCCCGTTCGTAGCAATCATCGACAGCCAACGCATGGCGTCTGTGAGGCGGTTGTGTATAATTAGTATATTAAGTCTTTTTGGTACGCAAACAATCAATCAATCACCTGTGGCTGGCGTACCTATTAGGCCCGAGAAAAGAGCCCCACTAGCCCATTCATTCATCCATTCAACATAGCAACGCTGCGCGCACAACAACATTTCCAAGGTCGAATCTGAAAGGGACTTTACCTAAAAATAATGAGATGCGCCTGGCTATCCTCACCGCCACCCCTCGGTGCTCCAAATGCATCACACGCTGATCAAAACTCATCTTCATTTTCAGGCTCCTGGTAGTCGCCTAGTAACACATCGTCCAAGCCATGGACGGGCGAGTTTGTCGTGCGAACCCACTCCGTCTCAGTACGGAAGAAGATCCACACCCAACGGCGGAAGACTTCAAGAAACTCGACGACGAAGATGCCACCCTCCCAGTTACTAAAACGGTCGAGATGTGGGCTCAGCTTCATAGACCACGTGAAGCGGAGCAACAGGTCCAGCAAAATCACAGCGTAGTACAAATTTGGCTGCCTAAAAACGAGTCTCTCGCGCAGGCCCCACGGATAGGCGGCCGATGCGGGCGTCCGCACCACCTCGTGGCGCTTTGAAGGCTCAAAGAGAGTCAAGTCCCAGTCCTTTGTTACGTCCCAGTAGAATGAGTAGAGCGAGTTGATCGTCACGGCCAACAGCCAGGCCCGATAGAGACCCGGCGTAGCCGTCCCCGCCGCCTCGGCGCTGCGCTGCATGGAGCTGGTAATGAGTACGGGAAAGGCCGTCGAGTATTTGAGCGCATTGGCCAGGTGCTGGCCTCCCCAGCCGCCCGATTCCCGGTACGGAGCGTTGCGCACGCGTAGATACTCGATGATGCACTGCCGGAAGCGGATGAGGCTTGGAACGGCCATGAGCAGCGGCACTATGACGATGCCGCCGCAGTTTCTGTTGGGCCGGTCGGTAGAGGAGCCGCCCGGCGAGAAGAACATGCAGACGGTGACAAAGACGTCGCCAAAGACCTTGGCGTATGATGTCAGCACATCCGCCAGCAAAATGTCGCCAAATTTGCCGTCCTTGGCCTCGGCGATGCCGCCGACACTGACGCGGCGCAGGGTGGCGAGAAATCGCCGACGGCCGTGGCCTGGCAGGTTTCTGAGCGGCACGACAAAAAACGCGACCAGCGCGACGAGATATGTCATGGGAATCCAGTCATAGTCGACGACTCGCTGCGGCACGCGCCAGGTGAGCAGCCAGAAGAGGACCATGGAGACGCCAAACAGGCTCGAGAGGACAGTCGCGAACCGGTACGTCGAGAGGTGGTGTGGAATAGCGGCCGGCGAGGTGCGTCCGGGGTATCGTATCAGCGAAGGGACGTCGATGCGCGAGAGCTGCAGCCCGTGGAGGTTGAGGCCCCAGCCCCAGACAGCTGTGGCCGCGTTTAGCATGGACAAGCCGTGCAAAGGAAGAGCATAAAGGGAGACTTACCGAGTGTCACGATGAAGCCGACTCGGTACGGCAGCGGAAAAGTCAAGCTAAAAGAGTCGAGCTGCGGCTCAACCCTTGGATCGCCGTCCATCGTTATCGAAACGCGGTCGACATTGGCATGTGCGACAGGTCGAGGTTGCAATTGCCGCGGGCGGCGTCGGTGAAGGCAAGACGGGTGCTGGGAATTAAAATACTAAGTTAATACGAAAAGGAGAGACTTTATTGAAAGACTGGCGCCGTAAAGGGGGATTTTGGTCGCAAGATGGAAAACGGTCAACGTCAAACGGGCCAGATGGCCACAGGGGCAGGGGAAAAAAAAGAGGTCCGACCCGCCGCCCTGGGTGTCCAACGGCGCGGTCCGCTGAAAGCAGAAAGAACACTGTGGCTATTAATTTGACGAGAAATAAAAAGGAAATAAAAAAAATTAAAAAAACATGAAAAAAAAAACAGATCATTGGGAAATTGATAAGTTGATAATCCGGATGGTGAAAATAACCATGACCAGAAGATTTTGGTTGATATAGAGCTCACCTCTGGAGGCACTGATACGATGGAAGCGCCAGTACTTGCTGTCCATGATTCCCTGGTGAGAAGGAAGGGCAACAAAATAGTGAAAATTCTTGTTTATGCGCACTATCAAGAAATATCCAAAACTCAAGGAGTAGTTATTGTGTACATGATCCTTGGTGCGGGTTTGAAACTACCATACGATGATTGCCAGGCCATCATCATTGTAGGCGTGCTGGCTCCCCATAGTGAGAGTAAATTGTCGTTTGTCTGCTAACTTGGGTCATTTTGTCATTGATGAGTTGTCGTTGAAAACTTTGTTGTTGAACATGTATTGTTGAATATTGCTTGCTTGAGAATGAGAGCAAGAGCTTTCTTTGGTTTGGTTTGGCTTGTTGGCATCGGGAAACTTGCAAACCTCTTTGGGGATTTTCCTGGAATGTTGTAAAATTCTCAGTACAAAGCGAATACTATATTTGTATTTGTATCGTCGTCATCACTACTCTGCGGTACACCGGCCATTGGTATACATGTGCTGGAAGAGTATTCCTCAGTCGTTTGGTGTCCGGAACGAGAATATAGTCGCTTTGAACACTGACCGAGTTCATTAGGTCCTTTGTCGCTCTACCTGCTGGTCACAGTGCATGAAAGCCCCCCCAAATCTGGCTGCTTTGTCGTGTGAACCGATGCAGTATTACATAGTTCTAGCCGCTGACCGCATCAAGATGATTCTTCTACACTTTGTCACACTTTACCGGATACCAGCATTGTAATACAATAATAGATGGACCATCTCCCCAATTTTCTCATCTAGTTTGAGATTTGTTCTTGTTCTAACCCAGGTTTTGCAATGGGTGTCCGCCATGCCATACTTTACTCATCATGGCAGCCCCCCTTCCGCAGATGCCTCTACGCTGCGCAGCGGCGTCGTATCTCCCAATACGAAATCGTGAGTACAGACCTGAAACAGTGTAAATTATGCTAAAATTAATCATCATTGAAAAGTACCTACCAGTATTTGCATGGTGTATGAGGTGCACTACCACAGCAACGCGCCGGTGCGAACAGAGCTTGTTACACTTGAAGCATTACCATGTCAGCACATAGTGCTCTCTGTATAAATAGTATACAAAAAGCGTGACTACTTTCTGTGTGATTCTTTCCCGAGTGAGAATTCCTCACGATAATAGCTACATAAAGCACAAATGGACGCAAGCTACGATGAGATTCCACTCCAGGTGCAGGTCCCGGTACGGGTCTTCTCGGCCAGATGTAGCCCAGTCGTCGCAGTGATATACTTTGACTTTTGCGGAAAGCCGGCACAGATATACGTTCCGGCATACAAGCAAAAGGGACTCAGCAGCGGCTACGAAGTGCTCCGCGAAATGCTGCATCTGCTGGCCGTTGATCTCGAGCCCAAGAGTCATTATTGCATGCCGGTTCAGTTTATACCAATCGCGAGCCAGATTGAGGAGATGCTAAGAGACTTTATGCTGGATCATGTACCGCCACCCGCACCCGCCATTGACTGGTTGGGCAGCTATCCTTTGGAGTGGTTTCTGTGCATGGGCCGGCAGCAATTTGTCCTGACCGAGGATGATCGCGGCAGGGTGTTTGCTCGGAGACAGTCCGCCGCCACTGAGGCTGAAGAGCTACCACCGACAAAATACTTGCCTCCGATACCGCGCGATCTACCTGCGATTCCCACCGCGCATCTCAAAGTGGCCCCCATGCGCTGCGGCAAGAACCGCATCAGCGGATCCATCACCGTGGACATGGGCCAGGCACATCACGGCGCGCACACTTATACGTTTGTGTGCATGCGTGAGCTTGGCGCGCGCGCCTCGGCCGAAGGCTGCCATCGCGCCATGGCATATCAGATTCAGCAGTTGGAGATGATTACGCACGATTGCGTTCACTTGGGCGCCGAGCAGCGCCGCAACATATGCATTCCCGAGATTCGGGCCTACCTCTACCACGAATTCGCACTCAAGCCAGACAGGCTACCAGTCGGGGCCCTGTTTGAGGAGCTGCCCAAGCTCGTCCCGCTGCGCTCCTCCAATGCCCCTCCAGAGGTGTTCAAAGAGTGCGTGCTCAGGATCTGCAAGACCGTCGAGTGGCTCGTGGACAGGGGCATTGGATGGGGAGGAAGCGTTCCCTACCACCACAAGGGCCACGCACTACTCGACGCAATCGTTGTGGACGCGTTTGGCCGGCCATGGCTCATGGAGGGTTTTACTGATACCCACGAGGATAAGCTTCTGAGCGATCGAGTTTCCGTTCATATGCTCCGCCTCGAGTTTGGTTTGCTTGGAACAGAGCCGGGTATGTGAGATTGGGCATTTCCCACTGAGAGGAGGCTCGAGGCGTACATACAAGGACCTTTGGGCCTTTGGGGGATGAGGGCGGAGCCTCAATCACGATTACAATTCAAAACAATGCATCGAGCTAGATACATGTGGTACCATTGTGTGTTTGTAAGTTGTGCAATTTCTTAAAGCTGTGAGTACTGTATTAGTGCGGCAGGCTGCAGTTTATACTTGGCACACCTATTTGCTACACAGGGACTCTGTGTCACCCCTCTAAACAATGCATCTGAAGTATTTTTCTCAATATACCTGCTTAAATATAAGTTGTTACAACTACAATTCCTTGTAATAGATGCTTTTGCTGCCTTCATGCTGCATCTGCTTCAACTCTACCCAAAAATCTTTGCGGCTGCCCTCCTGCGATGATGGCTGAACATTTGCGTGCTACTCAAGCCAGAATCGTTGGGAATCATGTTGAAATCATATTTGAGCTCAACGCAAAAGCTTTTTGCCTTTTTATCCCGCCCTTTCGAAAGCAGACGCTACTGCCTCCTTACTTTACCCGGACCTGCAATGCCCTGGTGCACCTGGTCCTCCAAGCGACGGCAGGAAACTGGCATCTCGGGGTGCAAAAGCAAATCAGCGACTCTCTCGCGTCCATACCAAAGCCCGAACTGCTGTCCGTCTGCCGTGGAAAGCCGGAAATACCTGGCTTTTGCTTTGTGCAATTGTATTTTGGCCATGCGCCCCGATCGTGCGCGCTGCAGCCCAACGCATACGAGGAGCCCGTCATTCGCTTGTCCAGCGACGGCTTCGACTTGGACTCGCATGCGCTGGACCGCGAAGACCGGTACTTTGCCAGCCAGCACGCCACTGCCAGGGTTAGCAATATTTCGGCCAATGATGTATCCGTCACTGTAAACACGAGCATCTCTGCTTCGCGCATCTGTGGCGAGGTTCGCCGGAGGGACAATACCAGATACTACTGCATCGTGGCCCGAGATGCCAGCGTCAGAGGTACGAGGCGTTGGGAGTGCCCTGAGCGGCGACAGCTCGTCGTTCGTCAGGCGTTGCAGGCCGCCTGCGCAGCCGATCCTGACGACGATGGCTGCATTCGAGTGCCGGAGCTCTTGGCGTATGTTCACGATGAGGATATGGAGTGTGAGCGCGGCGTCCGACTCCAACGCATCATGGGCGCTCTATACAGGAAAATAGACGGCATAGCGCTGCGCCTGCATATCAACACGCCACAACGACGGGAGCCGACGGCACAAGTTCTTGCGGATCGGCTCGCGAGCATGATGGCAAGCCTACACCGGCGAGGGTTTGTCTGGGGAGGCGAGCACAAAGATGGCCAGGACTCTTCTGTTGTTGTTCAAGAGGCAAAGACGCTCATGGATTGTCTCGTTCTTGACAAACAGGGTTATCCCTGGCTGATTGACGGTTTCGGCGCCGCGTATCATGAAGACGTGGTTCGCAGCGACGAGAAGGCACTCGCATCACTGTTGACTCAAATGAATATAGAAGTGACTGAGCCGGTAGAAGCGTTTGCACATGACCAGGGCTTGTCGGGCTGGCCCGAGCAGGAAATGTCAAGCACTACTATGTGCGAGGATTATGAGTATTATGAATAGTTAGATTGACGTAACTCGTGGCAGTCCGATTCTAGCTAGATTGCGACTTGAGCATATGATTTGATGTTTCTCTTCAAAACACTTTTCCCATGCATTTTTTCAGGTCAACAGGCCACATTTTTCACAAAATGTCAGGCTACCTTTCAGTGCAACGTACCGAAATAGAGGGCAGGTGAGCGACCAAGAAGATACACCATCTACTTGTAACGATTCACACAAAATATTGATAGGATGACACTTTGATATGAGCAGTATAAGATGCTGGTTCTTGTTTGTTTAGCAGTCTCGTGTGGCAAATGGTGGAAAGAAAAGCTCTGCTTTGTAGTGTCCTAACCAGTGAAGCTTCTCCGCTAATCGTAACATGGAACACGACAAAGGTGCGGTTATTACCAGTATCCTGTTTATGCGCAATATAATTTTTTATCGTGTTGCACTTGCTGCGGCATAGCTAATAACATTATGCCGGTAGCCTTGCTGCCGAGTTACGGTGCACAAGTTTGGCGTGAACGGCTACGGGCGCGCAGATTTCCGACTGTACGCACCCATCATGATTGCTTCCAATATGGAATATCCGAGACCAGGATTTGGTTTTATACAAGACGAGTGACCGTGAAAAAAGCTTCACGTAGCTTACTGTTTTGGCCTTATGCCGTCTCTACGGGTGAATGGGTGCCTGGTGACATCGGCGAAGTCGTCGCGTGAGTAGGTCACAAGGGAGAGCGTAGCAGCAACTGTCCAACGGTAATGCGCATATGTAATTGCCGACTCTTGTTTAAATAAAGCGGCTCAACGCTACACAAATTAGGATTTCGAGTGTGTTTGCGCAATTGTACGCTCTGGGCCTGGTAATATATTGAAATCTTGCCGTGACGGCAGCAAAGGGCATAACATTACACAGAAGAAGATGAATAACACACCAGCCGCCCTCTGCAGTATTAAACTCGAGACTTTCCACTTTATTCAAATAATTCAACTTTTTTTTTCCAAGAAAGTCATGATTTGGTCTACAGTTACAGCGTTGTTCGACTTGGTCTCTCTGGCCACAACCGGGCCATACATTGAAGGTACTTGTACACGCTCAGACGGAGCACTTCAGTGGCTCGCATCCCGATTATCCAAGAATTCGGCAATCTCGTGTCTTGGTCAGCCTCTCCAGCTACGCAACGCCAACCGCTATTGGGGTGAGCAGTTTGGCAAGAATGCGTCTGTTGTGGTGTATCCAGCGACGACGAAAGACGTGAGCCGAGCAGTACAGGCCGCCAACTGGTCAAAGTTTGGAGCAGACTTTTCAATCGCTGGCGGCGCGCATAGTCAGATTAACGCAAGCAGTAGCTACGGATTTGTCCTGGACATGTCGTGGATGAACAGCTCGAGGCTGATTCGCCAGTTTCGCGACCCTGCCGGCGGCAAGCCTTTTGCTGCCGTCGAGTACCAAGGAGGTGCCAACTGGGGCCAGGTTCAGTCAGTCACAAACGGAACTGGATACACTGCCATTGGTGCACGATTGGCTAGTGTCGGCGCCGGTGGCTTCTCGCTCGGAGGAGGCATCGGCTTCCTTGCTGGTGCACATGGCTTTGCCACGGATCGACTTGTGCAGATGGAAGTGGTTCTCCCTTCTGGTCAGGTGGTTACTGCGACAAGAACAAATAAGCACTCCAATCTCTTTTGGGCACTTCAAGGCGGCAGCGGCCAGTTTGGCATCGTCACGCGGTTTTGGCAACGCGCCGTTGTCGAGCCGAAACAAAGCACCATTGCCTTTTACTACATCAAGGACACGGACGTTTTGCGGCTTCGACGCCAAGTTGTCGAGTTTTTCAAGACGAACAAAGATCCTTTCAGCGTTGTTTACTACAGTTTTGGATATTTGCCCGACAACCTGAATAATCCAAAGCCAGAAAGTTATGCAAAGCGCACTTTGCTCATCACCGCGCACTTTGATGACCCGACCAACCCGAGTCAACCAGACAACAAGAGAGCTTTCCAAAGCCTACTTGACGGTATTGACGTCTCGCATGGCATCGTTATTCCAACCAATCACTATTCAAATCTCGTTTTCCTCGGCGGAGCTGCCTATCCTTACGGATACCGTCGGGGATTCTATGGTGCTCAAACGTCTGAAATTGACGTTGACTACCTCGCAAAAGTCACCGACACCTTTTGGAAATATGTCGATACTCTTATCGAACGAGGCGAGAAACCATACTCGGCATCGTTTGTTATGCAATACATGTACCCGGGCCTGAATGGGCATTTGCCCAAGTCTGACGGTGATACTGCTTGGCCGCATGCTCGTGTTGGTCATCAGACTCTGATCACTCCAGCGTACAAGCATTTTGAAAACGACATGCTTACAGTCGCGGCTGTGCAAGAGCTCAATCACGTCACCTACGCGCAGCAAAAAAAGGTTGGCAGCTTTCTGGCCAACTATCCGAATTACATTGCGCCTGGTGACAGCGGATGCCGCGTCTGGGGCCATAACGTGAAGAGACTCGCCGATATTAAACAAGAATATGATCCCGGCTGCTTGATTCGCAATGGACGAGTTTTTGCCAGCCACGGTTGTAGAATGGGAGGTTGGGCGAATGTTTTTGACGACTGTGCATGACGACTGCAAAGAACGCGTTGACAGGAATAATGTTGCTGGTTGCTAGTTGCTGGTTGGTGTTGGTGTTTTATCTTGTACGGAACAATGATAGGATTAGATAAAAGTTATACTCATCACACAGAAATGGTGTCAGCTAGGGCCGAGCATCCACATAACACCCAAGATTGTCTACGAGCAGAGTCCTTGATGAGTAGAGTTCCATTTCTTCTATCGAGGCATTGGTTATTGTCCATACATGTAAGCTAAAGTTGACGTATTGTAAGCAAAACTCCTAGGCTGGCGCTTATGTCGAATCGGCCACAAAATAATTGACGGCCAGCGGTTCTCCCAGCCCCATCTGCTTTTCGAACAACGACTGGTTCCAGCGGATGCGTGCTGTGAGACCAGGCTCAGCCGGCAGCGAGAAGATTGCAGAGACCTCGTCAACACTGCCAACAGAGGCAGGCTGCTTCCAGAGCAGAAACACGTAGCGATGAGGTGCAGAAGGCGATGGGGGGCCTGGGCCAATATAAGGCATAATGGGTCGGGCATCGGTTTCAAGCTTAGTGAAGCCATCCTCCAGGCTGTCCTCGACTGGCACCAAGTCTGTCTGAATCCAGTGCGCGATGGGGCCGAGAACGGAAAAGGATGGAAAAGGAGCGTCAAGGTCGAGACAGACGGCAATGTACTTGTCGCCGTCATGAAGCTTCATAAGCGAGCTGGAGAGGGAAAGACATGGCGTATCCTTGGCTGCGAGCTTGGGCAATTTGATGCCGACCCTGGATACGACCGTGTCTTCTGGAAAGACGACCTGAAGCTGCGGCGTCTTGTCGAACGCTGCTTCTAGCTTCTTTAGGGCACTTGGGACACTGGGGCAGGCTTTCATTTGTGCTTGTCACCGAGTTAGTTGATGGGGTTCTAGTCGGACTCAAGCAAGGCTTCTCCGGACTTACAGACTGCAGAGTGTGTTTCATGACCTACAACAAGGTGCATCGGATTGTTCAAGACGTCAATCTCTTTGAGATTTTATTTCGAGTCAGCCCCCGGTTTTTGTACAAGCTGTGCGTGAACGTCTACTGAATGAAGTATACAGCACATGGCATGTAAGAATTGCTGCGGGCGGACTCGTCCGGCGTACTGGCTTATCACCGAGAAAAGCCAGACTCAATTACTGGAAAAATGCACTATATTTCAGAAACATTTCATATAGATAACATAAATTGGGCATGCATTTTTCCACCATGTGCCAGTGTTGTAGGGCAACATCCGGTCGTCGGCACCGTGTCGGCAAACTAGAGATCTAGGCTAACCCAAACTAATGATCTGCGAGCCGAATCGGTGTGGCAAGCACGGAATTAGACTGGGGATTTCTTCCATCAAAGGCAGTCATCATTCTCAATCAAACCTGTAAAAGTCACTCTAGTGGGCAAAATTGCGCCGCAAGGCTCCGGAAGCGCTACTCCGCGGATAGCCAACAACCATCAAGGCCGACAGGAGACATGACGTCCTACGTCTATGACAATTATAGAACCAGCAATCGTAAGTCACGTTCAAGATTTGAAAATGGGTAGATCCGTAGCCGGTCGATTCTATACTCGATATTGAGCTTCGACACTTCAGAATGAGCTACGACGCCCACTTCAGTGCCACCGGAGCCCTCCTCAAGTATAACCCGCGAGGACGGAAAAGCGCCTACCCATCTTCAAACATGATCAAATAACAGTATTCATGACGTAAAACACAATCATGATACCCCGGAAAATACTCTGCCAGCTTCTCTAGAGCTAGCGCAAGCGGCGCCGCATGCCACCTTCACAAAACCCACCAAGGTTGTTCATCATCGTCATGACGGTCTTTGCGACTTTCCCGCCGTTTGCTGGCCGATAGGCCGACACAAACGCCGGGCACAAAATACAAGGAACGCTCAAACGCATCAAAGCTTGAGCATGTAGCCTCCTTCTATACCATCATCTCACTTCTACCGTTCGGTCATCACAGCCATCTCGAACTGAAAACATTATGGCACGTCGCAGCCACACATCTCGACAAGATCGGTCTGCCCTGTCCGGACAGAACACGCCCCGTATCCCACGGCAGACAGAATCAAAAAGATGGGACAAGTCACTACAGAGCGCGACGGAGTCTGGTGCTGCCGCGAAGGCATCCCTCATCGACTCATTTCTATCCAACGTGCGGAATGTAAATTTGTTAGACGAGGACAACGTCAACATTGACAATTGTCCAGTGCCCAAAAGATCAGACCCTCCGAAGAACAACTTCGTCAACGAGCAAGCCCGTACCGCGACCCTCGTTGCCGGCGTTGCCTGTGACGCTCGAGCGATGGCGGTCCAAAGTCTAGGCTGCGGTCATGTACCATTTATGTCCGCCTTGATCCCCATCGAAGGCTCTCAGTGGCCGATTCGACCAAACTCGGACATGGACAATTACGGCATTGAAAGCCACGGACAATACACCAAGTTCCTCGCCGTGGTGGAGGCACCAAAACTATCCCAAGACTACGTGCCCGACATAGGCAAGCAAGTTCAAATGTACTTTGATATGGAATACAAGTTTGAGAAGATTCCAGTCACGGAAATGTGGCCTGAAGACGTTGAAAAGATCGTCAACGAGTTTTCTCGCGAATTCCAGGACACAGACGCAGCATACTCATACACACTCAACGCTGATGGCCAGACGATGGACGAAGTGGTGGCCGCCCAGGACGTTTCATTGTCGAGAGAAGAACTGGACAAAATACGCCTCGATTGCATCCGCAAAAGAATGGCCAAGTTGATTCTGCCAAATATCCCCTACGAGCTCACTGACAAGCAACGCAACGGCCTAACGACAGCAGAGGCTCGCATCGCTCTGGCCGCGGACGCTATTAAGACTATCATCACTGAGCACGACCAGTGCCCCCAAGAGCAACGAGCACTGCTAGAGTCCTGGCTGGAGAAAAACAACACCGTCCAAGCGAATACAGACGACGTTGACTGGACAGACATAAAATGGCATGGTCGACGCATTATCCAAGTTCCCGGTATCGTATCTGGTTTTCAATACTACTTGCTCTCCACCCCTAAGCATCCCAACTGGCCCCCTGATCTACAACCCCCTCCCCTTCGTTTTGTCTATGACAAACCCGATGTAAACGGCTCAGTGCAGGCTCTTCACGACAGTCTAAAGCTGGTCATTCGCACAGTCATCTTCTACCGAGCGAAAGTCGAGGTGCTCAAGTTCAAGGGGCGCGTCTGCCATACCATGAACAATCTCAAAGACGGCTCTCGTGGTTTGCATTGGTGGCGCTACGCGCTGAATTTCAACCCCGCGGTCTCGAAGACTATCAAGGTGAATCTCCTCTCGGAATTTCCAGGAATAGCCGCCGGGTTGGCCAATGGAAGATTCCGCGGTGAGCACGCCCAGGCAGCCAGAGCTTTAGAGTTCTCAAACGCCGGCAAGTTTATCCTGCAAGGCGGCCCGGGAGCGGGGAAATCAGCCTTTATACAGACATGTTTGACCACAGCGTTGGAAAAGGACACCGTCCTGAACGGCATTTCCAAGCGCACGACGGCGGTATACACGACAAGTACAAACGCCATGGTCAATAACGCCTACACAGTCTTTGCGGAAAGAAATCCCAATCGACGCGCCGCACGTGCCTTTATGTTTCGAGAAGAAGTACTCGCCGTTCTGCTTTATGAGAATATGCACAGAAATGAAGCACAAGAAGACACGGAACAGAACACGTCGTCCGCTCCCCGCCATCAAGCTATAAGTGTCTTCCGCCAACACGTGGAAAACATCACTCAGAGCAACCGAGAATTATACTCCCCTCGACAACACGAACACAGCCTAGCCGCTATAGCTATCCAACGTATTATCGCGGACCCAAACTCATTCATCTCCCATTGCTGGCCTATGCGCACCGAAGACCCGGATTCATGGAAGGCCTTGAAAAAGACGCTCCTGGAACGTATCAAAGAGTTGCTCAAGGCAATTATCTTGGAATTGGACGTCATTTTTTGCACTCCCCATACCGCTAAGGATCTAAAGAACAACTGTCAGGATTGGAATCCCACTCTTGTCATCATCGATAAAGCCGGGCTCCTCACGGAGACACAACTGCTCGTGCCCATCTCTTGCTGGCCGCACGCCGCAACGCTGATAGTCGGAGACCCGAATCAGCTCCGTCCAATTGTCCCCAGCTATAGGAAAAAGCTGCGTTGCGAGACGCTGGCTGAGAAAGAGGACGACGTAAAGGTCTTTGAGTTTGACGACCTGGTCAGCGAACAGCGACGCTACCCCATATTGGCCCGCGCGCAGGCGCTGCATGGTGTCGACTTTACCCTGCGAGAGAACCACCGCGTCTACGGCAGCGCAGGCGAATACATGTCTCGTAACATGTTCAACGGTAGCATGGTGTGCACACACCTCGGAGACCGGGCTGCCTCTGCATCCTTGTCTGAGTACGTGAACGAAAACCTCGAGGCCTCTAAAAACCTTGTGTGGTTCGATTTGGACGGAGCAGTCGAGACCGCGGCTGGCACCTCGTACGTCAACACGGCACAAGCCAGATTCTGCGTCGAGCTCGCACTTCAGTTTTGTCGCGAGTGTGATTTTCCCCTTGTGACAGACTGGCTAGCTTGGAAGAACGGGAAGCTCGAAAAAAAGGGCATCCGTCGTGGTCGCGTCTTGATCATCTGCATGTACGCTCAGCAACGGGAGCTCATTTTATCCATGCTCCAACAAGTTCCCACACACGAGTACGATTTGTCACACATCGAGGTACGCAGTGTCGACCAATGCTTGGGCCACTACAGAGAAGTCGTCATCATGTCCATCGGACGCTCGGCCGGAGCTGGCCACACCAGGGACATTAAACGTTCCAACGTCGCCCTGACGAGACATATCTTATTCCTCGCTACAGTTTCCTCTTCTGAAGTGGGCGACAAGCTCGGGAACAACCTAAAACGCTACCGCCAGTACCACGACAAGCACAACCTGCGGAAGCAGATCAAGGGATGGCACTTGTGGTGCGAAAAGTGTTGCCAGCACGGGCACTCCCAAGAACGCTGTGGTGAGACTCTAGTCTGCGGCTTTTGCAGGGGACCACATGCAGGACGCAACTGCACCAAAGTTCCCCGGGATAAGGCGACAGTGGCCGACGAGAGATGGACAGAGGGTGCCACCGATAATTGCTGGCCTCCCGCCACTGAAGCTGTCGTCACCGCTCCCGCAGCGCTCACCTTGGAAGACGGCAATAAACGTCTGGTAATCCTCGACAATCTTCAGCGTTCAGTCCTGTACAAGTCAGACGCAGCTCAGAAAGGCAAACAACCAAAGGTCATCGTTTGCCCTACCCGCAGCATCGTCCAAAGCCAACGAAGGGCCAACTAGACCCTGCACATCGCCTATAATCATTGACGCCTAGGGGATACGGCTATAAGTATCTGTTCTTGACGCTACTCCCATTTGTAGCAAGTCGTTTAATCATCTGCGTCGGGGTATGGGGTCCGAAATGGAGAGAAGCAAAGACATGTTTGTTGGGAAAAAAAAGTAGTATGGAAAGGAGACAGAGAGACGCAGACGGCACGGCAAGATAGATGCAGGGCGAGAGTCAAGAGTAAAAGTCAAGGATATCAATTGTCAAAAATCCAAAGAAGAAAAAACTTTTTTCCCCATCTACACAGAGCCTGCATCGTCCAATATTTAAATGCAAGTTGGGGAGGCTCAATCCTCGCCCTCCCAATCCATCGCGTCTTCATCCTCGAGCATCTCCAGCTCCTCAATCTCCTTTTGCCTCTGCTCATCCTCCTTGGCATCCTCGTCTGCTTCCACATCCATTCTCGCCCGTAACTCTTTAATAGCAACCAGGTCCTCCTCCGATGCCGTCTTGAGCTCCTGCTCCAGCTGCTCCTGCAACGCCTTTTTCAGTTCTTCGGCCTTGGCATCCTGCTCTGCCAGATACTTTTCGCAAAGTTCTTCAAGCTCCTCTTGCGTCTTTTCAGATTCCTCTAAACTCGGCATAGAACCACCACCACCACCTTCGCTCTCCTCTGTCGTCTCTGGGAGTAAAAACTTGGCCTTGACCGCAGCTTCAAACGCAAACTCGTCTGGTCGGAGAGACTCGGCCACGAGGCTCGCCGCAGCCGCCACGGCGTCATCTTCATAATCATCGTCAATGGCGTAGACCTCGCTCGTGTCAAAGGTCCACCAGCCCATCGTAATCGTCTCTAGTGCGCCGTAGCTGAGCTCGTCGATGCGGCGCTCTGGCGCCCAGTACTCGCGCAGGACCTCGGGGATGGAGCCGAGGCCCGTCATGGCCTTGACGGTGCGCGCGAGGACGTCCTTTGGCGGCCGGCCGCACACCTTGTCAAACTGAACGTCGTCTAGAGAGTTTGGGTAGGCAAGCGTCTGGCCGTAGAGGTCGAGGCGGCTGAGGAACAGCCAGCGTTCCGCCTTGGTGAGCTGCTCATTGTGCTTGCCGGCCTTTTCGCAGAGGCGCCGCGAGATTACAGGGCGCGAGGCGCCGAATAGCTTCTGGGTTAGGGTATTTTCAGCGTCAGGCATAATGTAGAGAGATTCGAACTGGTGTTGTTGGAGGTGTTGTTGTTGTTGGAGCAAAGGCTGGTTTTGCGCTGTGAGGGGCGGTGGAGGTCAATACAGTGGCACTATAAAATTTCACATAGGTAATGATAGAGACAACACAGAATCGACGCAAATACGTTGATTTTCAGTCATTGTCCATTTTCTCGCGTGGCTTACTGTGACTGAAAACTCTTGCAACGCCGACAATGTCCTGGTTTGTTGACTAATTCAGGTTGGTACCGACTATCACTTTTCACACTTTGGACACCTTGGGAAGCAAAGGAGAAGCCTACGATATTTTCACAAACATGAAGCTAGAGTGAATGATATATGCTTCAAACGACTATACATTTTTTGGCACAAATGTGCCGTTGCTCATCTCCATCATCTGTCCAAGAAAAGAAAAAAAAAAAGAAAAGCACCACCTACGTCAGCAGCAGACTTACTTGCTCAACCGTCATCTTCTCCCAGGCCTCGAGCCAGATCCGTCCGAGCGCTTTCCGGTACACTTTGCCGTCATCTGTCCGCCCAATCCAGAGGACATTGACAAAATGATACCAAGCCTCTCCATGTCGAATCTCATCGCGGTCGCTCGCCTCTGTCGTCAATGAGTGGTCCTTTGCGGCATTGACCGTGATTTTGGCTTTGGAAATGGCAATGACCTCGTGCTCCTCCTCGTCTTCCGGCAACTTGCTACCTGGTTGCATGTTCAAGCGTACTCTTCCAGCCCAAGCCGCGTCCGCTGTGCTCACAATCTCCATCTCGGGCACCAACGCCTCATGCAGCAGCTTGTTGTTTGACGCGTCGCGCTCTTCCGCCGTCCCGCGAAACTGGAAGCGCACGCGCGCCAAGTGTCCCTCGAAGCGCAAATGAGAATGGTAAGATGCCGTCGTCTGGACGTTGTCAAGGTGTTGGAGAGTCGGGATAGGGTAGCTAAACTTAAGGACGGGCCGGATGTGACTATAGAAGGAGGATTGATAGTATGTCAGCCCGTGCTCGTCTGTATGCTTGGTCCAGCCCTCGGGTGTCGCAGCTTCTGCATCTTCAAAGTGCTGCTTGCGAACTGTGTGGTACGAGTTTTCTACATCCTCCCACTCTTCTGTAGCCTTGTTTTGTTTTTTCCACTTGACGAGGGGAGAAATTGTCAAGTCTGGTCGCGGGTACAAGTAATCAGCCTGCCAGAAATTCTGTAAATGGAACCCGTGATGTGATATCCACGACCAACTCGGAAATTCGTGCTTCTTCCCGGCCCAGTCCACACCGGAGCGCGGTCTGGCTCCCCTTCGCCTGTGCTGCCACAGCAAGCCAATGTCAAACAGAAACTCGGGGAGCCCGAACAAGAAGCCTCGAGGAAGAAACTGGCTCATGGGTGCCACGACTCCCTCAAAGGCGTTGAGGGTATCCTCGGGCATTGTCAGCCGCCGGCTCGCGTATGCAGAAGCGAGCTCAGAGTACCGAGAAATGTCTGGCCACTCGGGAATGGATAGCTTGAGCCTCTCGTCCGGGGCCGTGGGATAGCTCTCCGTCTCAGAGAGTACCTCCAAGTCTTCTGTCCAATGCGCGCCACCACACGCCCACGTGGCAAGAGAGCCGAGGCAAAGAAGCCGTTTGGACAAGACTGTTTCTTGCAGAGTCCAGGCTCTTTTAGTCCACGGAGTACCTGCATGGAATACTGGTGCAAGTCCATGAGCCCCTTGAGAGGCTTTAACCAATGTCTGACAGGGCAAGTGGATAAAAGGCGACAAGTCAGAACCTGAAGTGCCCTGAGAGACGCGCGGGAGACCTGAATGGGCGCTTTCCGATGTCAGCGCAACAATCGTCAGATATGCATTGGCAAAGATGGAGCTCATTGCCTTGATCTGCTCCATCTTGTGCTCGAGATCATCCTGGACAATGCACATACTGTCGACCCAGAGGTATCGAATTCCAATATTGGCGCAAACACGTACCGCGTCGTGTATCGTAGCCGGCAGCTCCAGATAGCCGCCTTTTAGGAAAGCGCCTGGTAATCGGAGAAAGGTAATGCTTGCCTTTGTCGCCATTGGCAGCACGTCACCTCCCCACACATAGCTCAGCGCTGCGTAGCGAACGGGCTCATTCGGCGTGACTATGCACAGGTCCTCGACGTCAATCAGGCTGAGCTTTGTCTTGGGCAGGGAAGATGCTTCCAACCTCCCCAAACAAGTGGACTGATGACACTTGTCGCATTGGTCGATCCAGCGCCGTATCAAACTAAGGTTGTAGCCATCCAAATCGTACGGACGACCCCGACCTGTGATGGACTTTGCCAGAGCGGGATTCGTCGATAATAGCGTATCCAGCCTCATTTTAATAAACTGAGCTCGACGCTGTGCGGGATCCTCGTTGTCCCCATCAATGTTACCCCAGGCCATGCTGAGCAGCGGCTGCTTGAGGCGAAAGTGAGCGCTCAAGCCGTAAACCTCTCCATGCATCTTTTGGATCTCTGCGTGGTTTTGAGAGCCCAGTATGCAGCGGCAGCTTTTGCAACCATTGGAAGCACGAGTTTCGAGGTCGGCCGAGGTGCCCAGGAAGAAGTCGACCTGTCCGTGGTATTGAGCAGTCGTCCCTTGCGCTACGGCTACTTCCCAGAGGAGGAAAGAAGCGCTCATCAAGAGGCATTTCTCGCATGCTTTGAGTCGGTTCATATCAAACTGATGTCTCTGTAGGGGATTTGGTTCCAAGAAAAGATGAAGATGTTGTCGTCACCCCCGACAAGAGCGGCTGAAAGAGGGCTGAAGATGACTGTGGGGCAGTCAGTGGTGTTGGAGGATTAGCAAGTTGAATGGAATGAGATTGTCTGGGTGAGATATTGAGGCTTTTGAAGCATCAAGGGCCCTTTGTCCTTGTATAACTGGATTTGCCTTTATCAGTTGCAGCCGCGATCCGCTCAGAACCGGCGGGCTTGTCACTTGAACAATGGTTACTTGCAAGCTCTCATTGGCACTCTCAAGGGAATTTACTATGACAGCGGTGTCACAATTGTTTTTTATATCCATCGAGTGCTTGTACCGGATTTATGTCACGTCGCCAAGTTTCGCAACACTAGGTACTGCAATTGAAGACCTCTCCACAAACAAGTTTCTGACATGACGAACTGTCGCTGAATCGAACATGTATAGCGAATGCTTGAAATTGCAGCTCATCGCTGCTATTGCTGCGTCATATTCACGAAATCAATCTCCGAAACCACCTTTTAGACCAAATCCAATGTCATCGCTACGCCGAAACTGCAAGGTCATACTGTAAGGAGGACCTTTGAGGCAAATCCATAGGAAAATTCCTGATCAAGAGTTGTCGAGTCCTCGCTTCTTCTCTTGATAATTATTCTCGTCAGAATCAAAGCTCTATATGACTCTGCCAGACAAGGCGATGCTTGAATGAAGCTCGGATGCACTCGTCAGCCCTACGTCTTTAGGGATTGAGTAAACCAGTCACTACTACAAATAGATGTTTCCGTCTCCATATCTGGAGCATCGAGGTAGAACGATATCAATAATGCCTCAGCAGTAGGGCTTTACTCAAAAGTATCATCAGATGCACTTTGTTCTACAAGCGGCACTACCTCAACGCCATCAAACGTCCTTTCCTTTTCCAACAAGACATGTTTTTGTACTGCACTTTGCGCCTGCCGCCCTTGTTCGGCCCTGTCCAACACAGATGATGGATGCCAAAGCTTTGAGGAAACGAGGGCGGTCGACTCGGTCGCGAGGAGTCAATGTCACTTCAACTCGTTGGCGAGGAGTGAGTTCAATGTCATTTCAGCTCAGTCGCGAAGGAGTCCAATGTCTTTTCAACTCGGTCGCGAGGAGTCAATTGTCATTTCACTTGGCGGATCCCAGGGCAGTTTTTGTAAGAAACCTTGCTGGCCTCCTTTTGTACGCTAGATGCAGAATGTACTTTGAGTGTTCCCTTTAGACGCGTACCGACGCGCGCGCGCGAAACGACGCGATTATTCACCTTGGCGTTGGCCAAAGGAGGTTTTTTAAACTTTTTTTCTTCCTCCCCGCCCATTCTGGCTCATCAGTCATCCCTTGCATCGCAAACAAGCTCCAACAGCGTTAGCCATACAAAAGTCGGGGTCCTTCTTTAGCTTCGGATGGAGTCGTGCCGAGGATCAACAGGTACGCGAGACAGACACGAGAAACTCGACGAGACTAGCAAGCAAAAAAAGGGGAGTTGATTTCAGAAAAAAAAGGTGATGCAGGTCTGCATCAAGTCGTTGAGCGGGGTTCTCATCAGAGTCATCACCACGGAGAAGCTCCCTTGAGTTGGAGCGCTTATCCGCAATCTCCATAGGAGATTCTGCCCAGGCAACAGGAGCCTTTTGCCGGTCCTATCGCGTTATCCTCCCTTGTATACAATGTCCACAAGAGACGAACTTCCAATCTGAATGGGGGCCAAGAGTGCAATCTCGGTTATTACCATGGTTCAACCTTTTCAAAGTGCTCGGGTTACGCCAACACACAAAAAGGGAACAGCCTGCAGGGCGTGAGAGCAGCACAAACACACAGGCAGTTTTGCCCTTGGACCATTGTCCCACAGATTTGATCCCTTTTTTTTCTTTTTCTTCTTTCTTTCTTGTCCCTCTACAAGAAAGAGCCTCGTCAGTCGGTGAATGGCGAGTTGTGTGACTAAAACTGATTAGCCCCGAATAGAGTCGGGAGGCAGAGCTGTAGCCGTCTATTCTAGAGCAGGGATGAGCAGACTTTTTGTTCTTCTTTCTTCTTTTTTTTTCTTTTTCTTTTTTATTTATTTTTGCAGTTCAAGTTGTAAGTTGGTCCAGACGAGAGTCGCCGTCGTGTGACGTTGCATGTATGTATGTATGTGTAGACCGACCGGCCCGCGATTTTTCGAGGCGAAGGCGGACATCGGATAGCAAAAACGCCCAAGCCGACGTTGTACGACACGCAACAAGACCTTTGTCCCAGGTGAGAGCAGAAAAAAAAAAAAAAGGCATCGCATACCAGTCGGGCACGGGTTGTGAGCTGCATGCTGTGTAGCACAAGTCGCCGCAATGAGGCTGCGGATAGAGACATGACGCGCTAAGCACAATATAACCTGAATGGGAAATCTATATCTGTCCATCTATCTGTCAGCAGCAGCTGGGGGGGGGGGGGGGGGAGGACAGCAGATGGGGTCGGCCCTCTTAACAGATATGACAGAGCGCCGTGATGGAGGCTAGTTTTAGCAGCTACAACTTGGGCAAACGAGTTGTCCCTCCTCGCAAGCCACCGCAAATCATTCTTTGGGTTCCAATCAGTCATTTTTACAAATTACAAGTCGCCAACGACAAGAGCGGGCGCTCCTTGGCACATTGGCAGCCATGTGTGTTGCCAGTTTTGGACACTCTTGGGCACCAACAAAAGCCCACTGTAGAAAAGAAAAAGAAAAGAAAAAACGCCTCGGTGGAACTTGGGGTTTGAGCTCGGGTCCCGAGGACTTGGGTACATTTTCAGTCTCTTTTAGTTAGTCAGTGAGTGTTTGCCTGCAGGCTGGCAGAACAGGCTGGCCAGGAATGGGCGAGGCTAAGCCAAGTCGAGGCCTCGTAGGCGAAAGATACATGACTCTCTCTCTCTATCTCTCTCTCTATCTATCTCTCTCTCTCTCTCTTTTGCCATGATCAAGGCCGCGGATCGATCGTTGGGGATTTGGCAAAGTTCCCGCTCGTTGAAAACTTGCGCACATGGCGTCGTAGAGGGGACAATTTTCGAAACAAGACCGATTACTAACAAGAAAGCTCCTTGTTTAACTGCCAGATTAAAGTCTTCCCCTCTCCACAACGTTGTCGGACAATTTTCGCCAATCTAGGAAATGGCAACCAACTTCTTTTTTGCGACGGGCTGAATTTTGGGTATTGATTTGTCAAAGAAAAGCCATGAATAGCAAAAAGAGAAAAAGCCACTCTGCTGTCTCTGTCTCAGAGGGGCCTCTTCATCCGGGAAGTGGGAAAGAAACCCTGCATCAAACAGACCAAAAAAAAAAAGGAAGGCGTCAAGCTTGCGGGAAGCCCCAGTCGCCTCATCTAGCGGAGCTGACCAGAGTGTGTGGCTTATTGCTAGCTGAGCACGGGCAGGGCTGTCGGGGGGGCAATCCATGCCATGGCATTCTTTTTGTCTTTTGGACGCGGGGGATGCTGGCTCAGCTGAAGATGCAGCCTTGATCGACAGGCCTTGTTTTACTGGCTAGGGACCGAGCCACAATCTCAAATGATGGTCAACTGTTGTTGTCTTTTTTCTTTTTGGTCGAGACCCCTTCCTGTTTAGTTTGAAATTGCCTCGTTGACAGCCGCAGGGAGCCTTCATTCTGGTTGGACGGCGTATATTCCGTTTTCCCCAGACAAGGCTACGGACAAATGCCGAGGAGGCAAGCGCACATAAATCTTTTTTTTTTTTCAGCAAGAGGCGGCGTGCATGAGCAAGGATCATTCACAAGGGTGTGTGTGGCCTTGAAGAATAAACAATGCTTGACTACGGATTAGAACGTTTGTTGAATGCCATGTCGTTGACAAGAGCGTTTCAAGACAGCGTCGTATCGGTCGAGGTCGAGACCGCGAGACTCGAAGCCTGTACTTTTTAATCCCTTACTCGCCGTCATTTTGGCTCACAAAATTTGGCTTGCTTGCGAGAAACGAGGCGCATCGTGCATGACTTGGCATTATCCAAAGTTAGCCAGCGACGCCCGAGGGCATCCGAGGTTCACGGAAGTATCCGTCACGACCCCCAAAAACCAGGTGACAGATTGACGCTGCACCTCGTTCCGAAGCAAAACTGCGCATCAAAGAGAAGGGCCAGTGCTTTCACACACATAAGTCTGGCTACCATCAGGGGTGGAAGTCTGTCAGTCTGCAAAAGTACGGGATCTGTTTGTACCTCGTTAGGCGAGACATGGACTAAATAGCCTAGTCGCACCCGGCGCTTTGGTAAAGGGCTTGCTTAGGCTCGGCGCGTCGACCAGGGGCCAAGCACTGATGATGGGCAATAACAAACTAATAAACTACCGGATAGATGTTGGGCGACTTCAACTAGGTAGGTCCCCTTGGACTCGGTCATGGTCTCGCACACCAGTACATGTTTCTTGTGCCTTTTTGCCTTTTTGCTTCCGCTTCTTATCGTCCTCTGAGCTAGGGCCTCTTTTTTTGCTAGATTTGCGACGGACGTAGTAGAACCCGGGAAGGCGGGCACGCTAAAACAGGGTTCAGTGCCAACGCCAGAAGCAGAAACAAGATTGCCCCAATGCCACCTGGCGGGATTGACTCGCGGCGTGCAGGAAGAGATGGGAATGCGCTGTGGTACCAGTATGTACTCGGTAAAGAGATCCAAGTCAGAAATCCGGCCCGAGACATAAGCATCTCCCGACAGACAGGGGGGGGGGGGGGGGGGAGACTATGAAACTTGCGCCGTCCATCACGAAAGCTGGCAGGGCTAGAGCAAAGCTCAGCAAGCAGAGCACAGAGGGAGCCTATCTCCAAGAGGGAAGCAAGCTCCGAAAGAAACAACAACTTTTGAACAAACACGCCCCTCCACCACAATGACTCGAGTCGTCGTAAAGCGATGGCGGGGTCGAAGCGAATCTCACTCAATCGCGAGTAGGGAGTAGCCTAGCGGGGTAGCAAAGTTGATGATGCCGAGCTGTTTCTTTTTTTTTT